ACCATGGGAGAACCCCTAGGCAATTTGACTGCTTAGATGAATCTAGCCACTAAAAGAAAAATCATCAAGTCCTTCATCTCACTGGTGCTTAGTAGGGAATGGGGCACTGGGATGAAAAAATCACTAGATATCAATAGTTGTTGTAGATCATTCCCCCATTCCCTACTCAGCACCAGTAAGTCATTACAGGACTGACCCGCATCGGCCATGTTTTCAGAGCTGGTTGCTTCTCAGGTTCCGATGGATGGCCCAAGATCACCGAGAGGCAACAGTGACAGCTGGTTCCATATCTCCTAAGGGCCCAAATGCATATTATATATATATATACAATATATATATAGAGAATATGAAATATATAGTGTTATATATATAATATTATATGATATGTAAATGGAGGATTCCTACAATGGAGGTACCCCAAATCATCCAAGTCATTAGACCATTTTGGTTGTGGTTTTCGGGATCCCCCATTTAAGAAGCCACCGTATGAATACATGAAATACATGGCGTGTGGGAGACCTGGGGAGATCCAAAATGTGTCCTTCTCACGAAGGCACGTTGGGAGCTCCAGGTGATTTTCCTCGAGGAGTTCCGAGCAGCACTGGAATTCTCATCTGCAGAGGTCAGCAGGCGGATTTTCCATGTAGCAATAAAAATCATGGTTATAAACATAACATAGTAATAATATGTAATAATGATATTAGCGAGAATAATGATAATAGTAGGGAGCCATATGATATGCGTCTTTCATATTTTTCTGGCTGGTATCTGGTGGTTTCAAATCTATGTCATTGTTTTTTCAACCATGCATGGGATGATTGGTTGAAATGACAAGCATATTTTTGGGATGGGTTAAAGCCATTTATAACCCCCAACCAGTTTTGGAATGTTTCCGGATTTTTTGGGATTGTTGCCGGACCGGATAGGTAGCGCACTGTGTAATCTGATGAACTAGCAATGAGGGGTTCGATGATTGTCATGTTTGCATGCAGTGTAGCCTGCTTTAACATAATAACATGTAACATATCAAACACTGGAGCATCTTTGATTTAAGGTCGATTCTAATATGATGCTGGCCAGTATGCTGGCCAGTTTGATAGTTTTAGTAAAATTACATTATTGTTGATTGCAATCACTATATAAACATTATTATTATTGATCATATTATGTTCATTTAACCAATCCCAATATTATTGTTTTTGTTAAAAAACATGTTGATTTTCATGCCAGGCCCTGTCTGTGGCTTCACCTGCGGCAAGTCCAGCAAGTCCAGCAAGTCCAGCGAGTCCACAGTCTGGCACTGAATGCAACTGAAGTCCGCCTACCCGGTAGGTAAACCATAGGAAAACCATAGGAAAATGGTGGGTTAATGGGATTTAATGGGATTTAATGGGATTTAATGGCACTTACCCTCTGGGAAACTAAAATAGCTATGGAAAATCACCATGTTTAATGGGAAAATCAACTATAAATGGCAATTTTCAATGGAAAATCACCATCGGGAATGGGTAAATCAACTATAAATGTGCCATGTTCAATAGCTATTTCAAATTACCATACCCATGTTCAAGTAGAGTAGCTGGTTAAGATCCACATTCAAGTCTTACTTTATCTTACTTCAGTATCATTTAAAATTTAAAATGAAGATCCGGCAGAAGACTTGGTCGTTTTGAATGATCGGAAAATGTAATTCGTTCAATTAACCTAGGTTGAAGACACCGTACCTCCCGTCATCTAAGAGTTTGCTACGGAAAATCGCCATTGTAGGGAAATCATCGAGAAATGGTGGCATTTTCCATTGATTCTGTGCCACCCTCAGGGCGAACGCTAGCCACAAGCAGGTACGGCTGACTTCGACAATGCATGACAATGCAGTCCATGTGTCCACTGTATGGAGAACATTGGAGAATCATATTTAGATTTAAAATCATTAAAAACCCATGGCTTCCTGCATACTTCCTATGTTAAATCCAATGAATCATGGAGTTTTGTGGTCCACGGGGCAGATTTGATGTCCCATGGGCGGCCTCACAGATCCTGGCGCCGACATCCCCGAGAGTTGGGACTGGCGTCTTCGCGTGGCCCAGTGATGTGGTCGGCGCCAACACGTCACCATTGAGATCAGGTGGGGGGAGGAGATCGGTTTCAAAAATCTGATTGTCAACCAATGGCTCGCCAGCCCTTGGCGAAACTCTTGGAGACGGTGATGGAGAGAGAGAGAGAGAGAGCACCATAAAAAGTGGATACAAATCATTCAACATGTTTGAAAGATCTTCATTTCATTTGTGTTCAATCATTGGGGGTTCTGAAGTCGTGGGGGGTCCCAAGTCATCTTGGATTTCTCACTACGAAACGGAAAAACGTGGATCATTTGGGATGATGACCCTCAATGGGATGATTGAATCATCGTTGCTTGGCTGGGTGCAAGGTGCCTTAAATATGGCAGATGTCACCCGAAAATGGTGATATCATGTGATTCTTATGTCTGAATTCGATGGAGGGAGGCAGTTGTTGGAATGATGTTTCTTTCTCAGCAGCTTCACCACATCCAAAGCATCATGTGATATGGAGTACATATACGTATATATATATTGTATGTGTACACACACACACACATATATATATATACACTGTAATTAGTAAGTCAGCAGTACTGGGATATATTATGCCATATTATGCCTATGGATCCAAACATTTTCCGAGAATGTACTTAAACCCCCAAATCATAGCCCAAATGCATCCAAATACTTTCTGAGAAGGTACTTGGATCCATAAGGGTCATAAGATCAAAGAACCAACCAGCTACCCTCTGGTAATTTAACACAACTATGGAAAATCACCATTTTTAATGGGAAAATCCACTATTTCTATGGCCATTTTCAATAGCTACGTTAAATTACCAAAGGCTAAGTTGTGAGATATCTGACTTTGGCACCAGACCTTGAGACGACTCGAATTCGGGAATTCGGTGCCAGGTGCTGTGGGGCCAGCGGTTCCACCGTCCATGTCGCAGGTACCACAGGTACCATGCTTTGGAGATGACTTTCTCATTGGACACCCCCTACCCTCTGGTAATTTAACGTAGCTATTGAAAATGGCCATTTATAGTGGAATTTCCCATTCAAAATGGTGATTTTCCATAGCTACGTTAAATTACCAGAGGGTAAATGGTCGCAAATAAGTGTTCTGTAATTTCCCTACAAAACCTTGCTTCTTTGATTTGTTTGTATCTTTTTTGGGGTGTGTTTGCTGGTATGAACGGGGGAAAGGGATTATGTGGGTAGGTATGTGGGATTAACATGGATTAATCCAAAAAATGGGGTACAACCAACAATGGCGATATAATTGGAAATCATCACAGGTAAGCTACAATGTATCAATATGATCATATTTAATATTAGTGGTTGACCCACTAATGGTCTTTTTCCACCCCACCATGACATGACCATAATGGAAACATGAGGATCAAAAACATATCAAAACCGGATTTTAGAGGTGCACCCCCCATTGTTGGACTTCGTTTGGAGTTGTACCATAGTGGTATCCAGGGTGAACATGGTGAAGCCACCAAGAAACCACCAGGCATTGAGCCCGGCCTCCCCGGGCTTGGAGAACTTTTTGATGTCGGATGAACCCAGCTGATGCTCATGCTGAGCTGTGGTCATTCAACGAGCGCTTGGTTATGAGAATGCTAATATGGAGACCATTTATGGATGATTTATATACATTGATTTGCCGAGTTACCTATTACAAGCTACCGGGGGGTATGCGTTGATTGAAAGCTTGAGAAATGACGCAAGCACACACACACACACGCACACCAATGTGGGACCGTGATGGTCCTCACAGGTCTCCCACGGCTGCTGGGGAACTCAGCGATGGCATGAGGATTCTTGGCTTGTGGTGAATATATATATAATATATAATATATATATAATATAATATATATATATAATTATCTATTTATATTTGTATTGTCTATTTAGTATGTATGTATATACGTGCAAAAATGAATATTCCAATGATATATCATGATCCATCATATGTCTTTAGATGTCATGCTATCCTCATTTATCCGCAAAGTCCCTCCACATCTATTTGCCCGCCCAAATGTGCAGCAGTTCAAAGTACTTCATCAACCAAGAGATTGGGAGAACTGCATTGATTAGAGCATGTCAGAGCTAAAACTCGAGGAGCAAACCTCTCCTGTTGCTAGATTCACAGCCGAAGCAGCTAGCATCTGAGCACCAGCGGCGCCAGTCTGATACACCCTGTTTGATACATTGGGATACATGGGGCTGAAAGGTCAGAAGCTCCTTGATCGTCCCTTTGTTTTTTCCCCAGGGAACAGCTGATTTTTGTTTTTTTTTGCCCTCAGATTCGGTAGATGACACACGCATTGCCACGGACACATACGGACACCATATCAAACAAGTGCATCGCTCCAGCTGTAGAAGGCCGCGGAAACTTTGCGAAAGCGGCGCAAGGGATGAACAATGTCCATCAAAGTGACCTAGCAATAAGAATCCAGATGTTCAGCTCTTGTGTAGTCACTATTGTCAAATTGCTAGGGCACTGTTTTTTTTAAATATGTTTTTTGCTCACAGCTCAAGTGCTTCAAAATTTGGCCAACTCTGAGATCTCAGTGGCCAACTGTCAGAGAATCCCATAAACCCAATTTCATACACCATCCCCAAGTCATCACATATTCCAACATATTCCAACCATCCCCAGTCGTAGGTTTATGGATGGTTTATGGCGTTGGGTTTACCTGCCTACTGCTTTTTACAGCCTGGATGCAGCCTGCCTCGGCAATGGCCGACACAGGCTGGACAGATATTCCGGTATTGCATTGATCCGTGCAGATGTGGCAATAACCTGACTTGTCGCGAGTTGCAAGGCTTTTGTACTCTGTAACTGACATGACAGTGGCAAAAAATTGACATATCAGTTTATTATAGTTTATTGAAATGAAAAGGTATCGTGAATGCATGCCGCAGCCAGCGTCCACATTTCACGCCCTCCTGTGAACTGCACGAAGATTTGCAACGCAATGGAGGCGCCCAAACAAGACTCTATGACGCCTTGGTGGAAAGGTACGAAATATGACTTTCCGAAAAAGACCCCTGCTTGGTTCGCGGATGGCATTCCTTGGGATACATTTCAGGAAGGAAAACCGCCCATGGTCTACGATCCTCCACAGTGGCTGGGTAGAAGCTCGGGATAGCGTGGGAGTTGAAGTGAAATACAGCCGCGGTATGTGTAGAATGTGATGCCTCAACCTTCAATATTAAATATATGTAAATATTACCATAGATGGGTGGTATAAGCCATCCCCAAGTGGTATTCCGAATGTGGAGTCACCACAATAGTGGCTTGACGCTGAGGTGGGTTCCCGGCTATCTCCCTCATTGCGCTCAGCAGTGCAACTTTTGGTCATATCGTTCCCCTTGGTGCGTGGTCCCCTGCAATTGCCACTGGGCCGCAACAAAAACCGTGGGATGGGTGTCAGCATGTAACAAGCGTGGCTGAGACTTTGTTCTGATTATCTATATATATATGGTTTGCATTCGATGTGTGGATGTTCATGGTGGATGTTTGGAACAAATTGCCGCCATTCGTCGTCATTGTCATAGTTCGCAAACACGGATGTACAGCTGACATGTCCTGAACTCTTTGGCCCAATCTTGTGTCGCCAAGATTTATAAATTGCATTCAATTCCCATCAATTGCCCAAATTCCATGACATTTCCAAGGGTTCCTGTTCCGAAATAGATCATGTCATGGATCTTTTTCGGCCTCCGTAGCATCCTGAGGCATGGCCTGTTGTCAGTGCTGCTGCATCAAAGACTCGGAAATTGTCTCCGTGGCGACCTGGAACGTGTTGTGTGTTGATGGCCAGAATTTGCATCGGAAATCATCCCCAATTCCACCAGAAAGAGATGGCATGTATGAGATCCAACGGTTGGGATTAATTGTGGGTTTGCACAATTAGATGTTGCTAGAAAACTGGAAAGATGTGGAAAGAGATGGAAGGCCATGGAAGGCTATGAAAAAAGCATGTCTGACATCTGGATAGGAAACTGCACTTTCAGAATCTTTCAGAGCCATTTGGGTCATTATTTGAGCACAATGTGCAAAATTTTGCATATCATTTAAGCGACCAAAAGGGAAGGTGGTCGGCCGGCCTTGGCATCCTTGGCACCTGAGGATACTCCAGATGAATGGATGACGAAGATGATCACCAGCGGGGCCAACGAGAAGACTCCGGAATGGATGAATGGCGCCGTGGTTGCTTTATGGTTTTATAGGGATGATATTGGGATAATACTGGGATATTGATTATGATATACCCATAGGATGGATCCGGCTGGTGCTGGTATATTAATGCTAACATAAAGATTGGGGCTATATAAAGATGGGATCCATGGCACACCAAAAAAATGGCAGCACCGTTAGGATCCGTCATGGGATTGGGTTCACCATGGGCTTCACCATGTCCTACATTCTGCCGTGGCCATCGCGCTGGGGCCAGGAATCTTTTGGCTTTGCGACAACAACGCGCCATCAGAGACACTCTTTACCTTCCAAAGTGCAGATTGGGCCGAAGGCTCAAAAGTGGTTGCTTGGTCTAGCTTGACGTGTCCAGGTGCTAATAATTAGACTTAATTATATAGTTACCTACAAACACATGTAAATAGACACACACACACATATATATACACATACTACATACATATCATATATATATAGTGATATATCTATATATATATTACACACATATACATACATACATACATACATACATACATACATACATACATACATACATACATACATACATACATACATACATACATACATACATACATACATACATACATACATACATACATACATACATACATACATACATACATACATACATACATACATACATACATACATACATACATACATACATACATACATACATACATACATACATACATACATACATACATACATACATACATACATACATACATACATACATACATACATACATACATACATACATACATACATACATACATACATACATACATACATACATACATACATACATACATACATACATACATACATACATACATACATACATACATACATACATACATACATACATACATACACTACATACATACATACATACATACATACATACATACATACATACATACATACATACATACATACATACATACATACATACATACATACATACATACATACATACATACATACATACATACATACATACATACATACATACATACATACATACACACACACACATACATACATACATACATACATTACAGACAGACAGACAGACAGCCATGCATGCATGCATACATGCATACATGCATACATGATACATGATACATGCATATATGCATACATGCATCCATGCATCCATGCATCCATGCATCCATGCATCCATGCATCCATGCATCCATGCATCCATGCATCCATACATCCATACATCCATACATCCATACAGACAGACATACATACATACATACATATGCATATATACATATACATACATACATATACATATACATACAAACATACATATACGTTTTCCCAAACAGTGTGTCCACACTCAGGGGTTCTTACGGTAAGGGTTGAAGGCCGGGGTTTTCTGGGGCACATTTTTTCCTGTGAATTCTCGCATAAAAGTTCCCCTGTGAGATGTGCATTTCCACTGCGCAGGCTCGCACAAGCTAGGGAGCGCGGTCAGGGTTCATTTGCACTGCGGCATTTTCATTCTGTAAATTCTCGCATAAATGTGCCCTTCTGAGACGTCCATGTGCATTTTGACTGTGCAGGCTCTCACAGGCTGGGCGGTGCTTCTGCTCTGTGGCTGTCCATGTGCATTTCGGGTGCTTGAGTATATAGCTGCTTGTATGAAAGCTCTTCTGGGATGCTCTTGTGAGGTTCTTGCATCTCAATCTTGTTCGATCCCCTCCAGCACCAGCAGGTCCTGTTATGATGACCTTGTGACATCCGGGTCCTGGCATGAAGATCTTGGTCAAGGTCTTTTACAATTCCCTGAGCGACGCGAGGATCTTGTAGAGATCATGGTGAAATCCTGTCAGGGGTCCTTGCATGATCCTGTACAGGTCCTTTTGGGAAGAGCTTGTGGGGATCCTTGCGCAACGCTGTCAGAGGCCTTTGCATGATTTTGTGCAGGTCAGAGGTCCGTAGTGAAATCCCTTACGTGTCCTTGCATGGTCTCGTACAGGTTCTTGTGACAAGCTCTTGTGGGGATTGTGTTGGAATCCTCCTCAAGAGGTCCTTGCATTAAGCTCTTGAAGATGCTCTGCGTTGGTGCTTGTCTGACCGTTCTTCTGGGATGCTCATAGGAAGTTCTTGTTTGAATCCTTTAAGATCTTCTATATATAGTCTATATTGCTTTATATGGAAGTCTTCGACGACCTTTTGAATTCTGTTAGATGTCCTGGTATGAGGTTCTGCCATGAGGTTTTGATGACTAGACATAGCGTTGTTTCTTGTGCCAAAACAAGTTGCTGCTGCTGCAGTTCCGATACAGTCTAACGTGTTACTGCTCCATAGCTACTGTTGCTGTGCCAAATCTTCGGGGGCCCGCATGGAGGAATGAGCAAGACATGACCTTTAATCTTTGATGACCTTTTTGGAACATAGAAAACTCAAGTATCTTCAGCATCTACATCCATCCAATTCCACCCATCGCATTGAGGCTCAGAAGAAATACTATCACAACTTTGGCGTTCCAGCCAACTGCTTTGGTTGTATTGTCCCTCGGATTTGATGCGGGCGATTTTCCTGAGAGTGGGCCCCGCCTTCTTGTGGAATGGGTTTGCCTGTGCATTTCCGGAACACACTGTTGATAGGAACTATATAATCTGGATGTTGGGCCTTCATGCTTGCGATTGGTTCCATCAAATGGTTCAAGGTAGTGCTGGTGGAAAAATCTAACCTCTCTGTTTTACAGACGGTCGTCGAGAGATTCCCTTGACCTTCAACATGTTGATATCAACAGACCTTGTCGATTACAAGTGCTGCCATGTGATACCAAGCTGCAACATATGTTTCCCGATTGTGGCAGGTTTACTCGATGTTTCGTTTTTCTGCGGTTGTAGGACATAGTGAAATTGCATCAAGTCATGCACTGTAAATTTAAGCTATCTTACGTTTTTTTTTTCCGACCTGACGCCATATGTTAATTGATATTGTGGTATAGTATAGTGATATTTTTTAAAGGGTTTTTCAGTTGATTTACTTATCTCAGGTTTGTAGTTTCGGTATAATTAATTCGTCATGTTATTGCCCGTTTCCTGCGGTCACTCCCAGTTCCTGCCACCCAGACGATGTTCGGAGCCGCACTCACGGATTCCACACTTCGTTTGGATTCTCGGAGACAGCTTCAGTCCATGGCCCTTTTCAGACGTCATTGGCATCAATCATATGAGAGTTCCTGCAAGAGGAAACCCCCAAATCATGAAAAACTTGTTTTTTTCTCCATGGGTAATGCAGTAATCAATATGGTGACACGCTAGTTTTCAGAACCCCCATGTCAGCCATGTTATCAAGCATAGTTTTTCGGCACATCCTGCATGATATTTGGGGCCTCTCTTGGGCAGTTGGGTAAGCACTTTGGCCATCCCCTACCGCTTTGCCAACCTAGGTTGAGGCCTTGAGGCCATCAGTGATACTTTGAAACTATGAGTGCTTTCAAGTATTGTTTCATATATATATGTGATATATATATAGACTAGAGAGTATATATATATATACAATAATAATTATTCTTATTGTTATAATTATAATAATATATATATATTTCCTATTGTATCAAATTTCCAAGTGTTTCTTTTATTGCCGCAGTTTGTTCAATCCACGTGTCTCACATGTGACTTGCTATTTCAATGTCCCATCCATGGTATTGTGCAGATGTTTCCTTAAATCAACCCAATGACAACTGGCCATTTCAGGTGCCTAAATTGGAGGTACCTAAATATTATATATATATGTATATATATATACTTGTCTATGTGTGTGTGTGTGTGTGTGTGCAATTGTATACAAACACACGCACACACACATATATACATAACATATAATGTAAATGTAAATGTAAATGTAAATGCAAATGTAAATGTAAATGTAAATGCAAATGTAAATGTAAATGTAAATGCAAATGTAAATGTAAATGTAAATGTAATGCAAATGTAATGTAAATGTAAATGTAAATGCAAATGTAAATGTAAATGTAATGTAATGTAATGTAATGTAATGTAAAGTAAATGTAGTGTAAATGTAATGTAATGTAAATGTAATGTAATGTAAATGTAATGTAATGTAGTGTAGTGTAATGTAATGTAATGTAATGTGTGTGGCCTATATTTTAGCGCTAGATTTCAGGGGATGTGCCCCCAAGTTCTATCGGGTCCCTTTCGAAGCCCCGAAGGAATTGTCGCCCAACGACAAGTGGATCAACCTCTATGGCGCGGGGCCAGGGTGGATCTACGTGGGCCAACCGGAGGATGGGGGGCACCCGGCAGATTATGAGGATGTGAGAGTCACAATACATGCAATGCATACATCCATCCATGCATATCTACATACATACGTACGTCCGTACAAATACAATACAATACAATACCATACCATACCATACCATACCATACATGCAGAATTACGTTACATGACATTACACTACGTTACGTTACGTTTCATTGCATTACATCACATCACATTACATTGCATTGCATTGTATTGCATTGATGCATACATACATACATACATACATGCATGCATGCATGCATGCATACATATATACATGCATACATACATACATACATATATATATTCATATATATATATATATATATATCTATATCTATATCTATGTATACAATTATATATATCTACATGTGTGTGTGTGTGTGCTTATCTTTGTGTTTAAATCTGATGGGATGTGGGTACGATTCCAGAACAGTAGTGATCGAAATGACTTGGTTTGCTGTGTTCCCTACTTGGAGGATCACCCAACTGGGTAGAAACCATTTTTAGCCACTGAAAAAACAGGATAACCCTAATCGGGCACTGTTTAAATCTTATGAACCGTGGTTATGCACCACTTCCTTGATCTAAGTGGCCAAAGCAGGATACCTTTGAATGCAAAAATGCGGCTGTGGATGTGTACGGCGAAAGCTTCAAACCCGTGACGGACCTCAACGAGATGCTACGTGTGAGCCACAACGACGAGACGCTGCCATTGTCGGAGCCCAACTACCAGTGACTTGGTAAGATTCATCTCCCTGTTTTTTGGCTTCAAACAGTTGTATTATGGGGTATTAATGGAACATTAATGGGGTATTAATGGGATATAAAATCAACAATCTGATGTTTGGGTCTGTGTGAAAATTAACCATAATTATTAGCCTGTTGGTAGGGAAAATGATGATTAATCAATGTATTCGAGGTACCCTATTTTCAGACAAACCCACATATTAATGGGCAACAGGCTTCCATGGTTCCGTCTCGGATCTGTCTTATGATACGGTAGTTCCGCCGTGGCGCAGCCGAAGGTATCGAGTGCGTAAAGTGGCATATATGGACAGCTATGGCAAGTTGGTGAAAACTGAGGTGCCTTGGTGATTCCAAACATTTCCAAGCTATTCCTATGTTGTTCCTATGTTGTTCCTTTATGATATGTTTGTGCATGTAGAATGGGGCCATTTTTGCATATTTTTGCCTCTACATGGTCATCCCCATGTGGCCATGGGCCCATCCCTGAACCTTTGGGACCCCGAGTTAGACGTTGCTTTAAAATTCCCATTGGCTATATATAGTAATATAGTATACTTAATAGATTATATACATTTATATACGCTGTAATACATCGTTTTATTGCCATGAACCCATTTTTTTCCATATACATTTTGTAGTACATTGAGACTATACGGGATATAAACTTTGCCATAGGCTATAACCACATATATTATATAACCATATATATATATAACCCATATAACGTATTTAACTTGTGCCATAATATATCCAAAGTGTCTGGGAAATGTTTGTTGCCCCGGAACCAATAGCTACACGACGCTTGCTCGACCCATTGAGGCCTGGGATGAATTTGTGAAGCGAGTGGCTGGGCATATCCCTGAAATTTGACCCTTACATCTGTTAGGTACCCTCTGGTAATTTAACATAGCTATTGAAAATGGCAATTTATAGCGAGTTTTCCCATTGAAAATTGTGATTTTCCATAGTTATGTTAGTTTACCAGAGGGTACCTCCAATTTAGGTAAAATAGAACACTCTATTGAGAGAGAAGAAGGACATCGTTCTGGCGGTCCGCAGCCGGTCACGGCTTGAGCGCCCGTAAATAGATGACTCTCCGGAATGATCAAGGTAGTGGATCTAGAGGGTCATGTCCATTTCAAATCGACCAAAGGGACCAGTGGTTTGGGCGGGAACTCTGCACTGTTGCCAGCGCCTGATGTTTCCCCCTGATGGGAAACAAGAAAAAGTGTCACACATTATAGCAACACCAAACTAGATGCCGAAAAGTGGGAAACCTGCTATTTTTTGGTGGTAAATATATGTAAAGATCATCAAACTACCATCCTGGGAACACGTTCGGCTTTTTTTTGGGGGGGTTGCGATAATTCAGTCGTGTCTCCCCCATTGTGAGTTTCTGAGGCAAAGGTGCCATTTGCACCCGGAACAGAGCCGAATCTGGGGCAAAAAACAGCAGTTTCATGGAGGGACCACAAGATGTGTAGATACCAGTAGCAGCAATGTCCTTTCAGAAACATAGCATTGCACTGGCCCTCTGAAAATTCAATATCGCTATGGAAAATTCGCATTTTTAAATATCGGTAGATATGTGTACATAACATATATAATATTCAGTAATCCATACATAGGCAATGGCAGCAATTGTCCATAGCCATGTGATCTACCAGATGGTAATTTCCTAAGCGGTATCCGACGGGTTAGATGTACAGTCTCTTCCGTAGATGGCTAGCACTGCTAGCAAATGCATTATATGTGCTACAGATAAAGTTCACTTGCATGGTATATCAATGGTATATTGTATGATATAGGTTCATTTGTGTATCAACATGATCAAGAAATTGAATATGCACACAGTATAGCAACCCCTCAAAAAAAAAGGTAGAACATGATAGAACCACACTATCCCCGCGAAGACTTCGTTGCCCAGGAACTGCTGTGGCTATTGCTTTTGCTGCCGTTCAAAGGAGTTCCTTGGCGTCATTTTGTCGTTGACTTTCGCCTTGGGACCTGTGGATCTGAGAGGCACTTGGTCCAGAAACTTGGTGCCTGCGGATTTGTTGAATTTCTGTGATTTTTTTCTGGCGCTTCCCAGCTATGCCCTTCTATTTTTTGCCTTTTTGTGGATACGTGCGATTTATGTTCATGTGACCACAAGAAGTTAAATACTTGAAGAAGGGGAGCTCAGAAGCAACTGAACCAACTTCGGCGTAAATGGCCCTTAAGTCCAGCTACCAGCAAAGAGCGAAGACTGGTGATTGGACCTGCCCACTGGCACCCGGGCTGAGGGACCTGGCCTTGGGGCGCTATCCTCACACCAACACCAAGTTGATCCTTGGTTTATGTTCGGACCCTAAGTGCTGAAGGATGCTGGAGCCCTCTGGAGTCATGGATGACCCACATTGGAAACCCGGGAGTCACGGATTGGACCTGGCAGGGGTATGTTATCCCTCTGATGATGCGAGAAGTAAGTGGCGTTTTGACCATCCGAGATATTCCGAGATGTAGTTGGAGCGGAAACGTTTTCCCGAGTTTGGGGCAGGATTTCTGAGACAATCTGACCACTGAGTTTCTTCAGAGGCACAGAAACACACGTCAAATTGCATTGTTTTGATTTAAGTTTTGCATGATTTTTCTTCAAGCTTTTGGTGAACCTCATGGGATCCCAAGCACTGATCCAGATGGCGAAATCGATCGCGAACGGGCACCGCGGTTCCTGAGGATTGTGAAGTATGCACCGAGCACCAAGTCGACCGCGCCAGCTCAGACCATTGGAGCCCAGCAGTAGTCACATGACGCCACGTTGACGTTGCACTTGGGGATTTTTATGGAGTATACTGATTACCCTCTGGTAAACGTACAAAAAACTATGGAAAATCACCATTCTAAATGGGAAAACTCACTATAAATGGCTATTTTCAATATCTATGTTAAATTACCAGAGGGTATACGACGTATGACCGGTATGTACAACATGAATGTTGCGCTTGGCGGAAGGATTGCGTTTTCATTCATCAAATTTTGATGCAGCCTGCGCCATGTGTCTATTTGCATGGCAAGCGAATGATGTGTGACTCCCAAGTGCACGCATGCCAGCACCATGAATTTCCCTGTGACATTTCCTCAGCTGAAGCTGGAAATGAAGGGGGTGTCATACGCAGGACCCTGGTGTAGAGTTTTCTAGGGAACGTTTCCTGACAGTAGGGGCCTCGGAGGAATCGAAGAATCATCACTCATCTTGCTTTGTTGGAGCTTTCATGGGCCATCTACTGTTGGAGAAAGACACCAGCCACATCACTGAATGGGTGTGTGGTCTGCCTAATGACTGCAATTGCCTCATTTTGCTACTTGCTATTTTAGAGTTTGCATCCCATTTGTTTTTCATTTTTTTGCATCACATTTCAGATGCACTAAAAAAACACTGGTCAATCGCTGGCATTGGGCAATTGAAAAACAGGAACTTTGAATATAAGAGTCATATTCATATTCATACTGACTTATGTGTTTGGGATGTGATCGCGAATCATTTCCTGCGTGTTTGTGGATGGAGCCTAGCCACTCTCGCGAGGGAACTGAGGAATTTCGAGAGCTGCCGCCAATGGGCAAAAGCTGAGTCCGAAGATGCAGGGCCTGCAGACGCTGTCTCGTTTTGCTGTAGCTGCCACAAAAAAAAATATGCCCAGCGAATCTGGCAAATTTTAACCTAACATGAAAGTCTGCCGTTGATACAGGCCACAATTGCTTGGGGTTACGGTTAGGGTTGATGATCAATATTGACTGCGTTACGTCCAAGCTCGATGGTTTTAGCCGTGGATTTCCTGTGCAGGATGATGGCGTACCACTGAGGGGAAGGGGCCGCGGTTTGCAGGTTCAACTGGAACCCTGGCGATGCAGAAATCAGAGCCTAATATCGCAAACCCCAAAGGCAGGGTCTAGTCTAGTGGAGGGGTTTCTTTGCACGCCTGAAAAAAATGTCTACTCTTGGTGCAGCTTCCTGGGGATGTATCTCACATACATTGGCATCTCTAAGAGACCTTGTCGCCATCCAGAATCCTATGAAACTACCATATATAAATTTAATATATGTTCAATCATGTTCAATCGCTACTTTATATATCTTTATTATAATGGTCCCAGGGCGAAAAAAAACAGAAAATCGCAGGTAGCACAGGCTGATCATGTCATACTGCAGCCCTGACGCTGAGGCCGAGATTTGTCCCCATTACCTTACAGGCAAAATGTGCCAAAAGCTGTCCGCTGGAAGCTCAAGTGTTGCATGGTGTAGATGATTCCCTGTTCATGGCTACACAATGCTACACATGTCATGGGATTAATTATAGTGGATTATATACGATTGTATGAGCATGGCTGAAATACATTCGAAAATTGACCCACACAATTTTGATGATATTAATAATATTAGTTATTGACCAAGAAATGGAGCTATCAGAGATCATGGGTCAAAATTTGGAATGCATCATCCATCCGTTGTGAGGCGTCAACAAAAGCTAGCTCTACTCACATCATTGATACATTCCCAGTTGGCCCAGTTTCGGCCACCAATAACCCCAGCATACTGCCAATAGCTTGATATCCTTGGAGGATACTGGGGTGTAATCTATGGGAACTGCCAGGAGCAGTTTGGTCTTGATTGTTCTGGGCTGTAGAATTGGCTTGGGCTTGGGACGTTGTCCCAGACAAAAAGTGGTTCAACACTCACTCATACTCAAAGTGTGATCAGATCGTGCACATTCCTTTCCCCCCACAGGACACGTTTGCCACCAGTCTCTCACCCATCAATTCTTGTAGCTGGCACTCAGGGTTTTAACCCACAATGCGGAGTCTGCTAACCAAATATGTACATGGCAACTTATGGCAATACGTGGCAATTATACATCATGTTTCCTCCTACCTTGCATCCAGATACATGGAAATATACCCTCTGGATCCGTCTGGTAATTTCACAAAGCTATGGATACTATGGAAAAACACGTTTTTTTTAGAGGTTAATCATGGTAAACATATGTAAAAATCATCCACTCAAACGGGCCATGGCTTCCATAGCAACTGCCGTGGAGCTTCCGTAGACACCCAAGGCCGGGCGTTTCAAGGTGAAGTGGCACAAACACTCCTCGCCTGGCCCGCAGTTCGTCGCGGGTTTGACCATGGGAATGAATGGGTTTGATAGTGACTAATGAATACTAATGGTGATTAGGTGTGATTAGTACCCATAGGATCCATGGTGCTGGTATATATGCTAACAGAAAGGGGGTATATTGATGGGATCCATGTTACCATATATAGCAGCACGATGGATCCTATGGGGTATGGGTTAATGGCGATTCATGGTGATTCATGGTGATTCACAGTGATGACTGTAATTGATAGTGATGAATGGCAACGTCATGGAATATTTGTGGAGATGTAATGGGGGCAGAATAAGCTATATAATGACATAATTTATGTATAATGGAATAGTGGTTAACAATAAATTGATGAATGGGTACGTAGTGGGCTTTCCATTTTGGATATAGAATGATATACATATACATATACATACATACAAAAAATATTTATATATATATATATATATTGGGGACCGAATAGGATATTAATGGCATATCCATCGAATATTGGTCAGTACCCTCCGGCGATGACCACATTTTTTCCAGCCATTCCCACCATTTGACATCGCTGCACTTTGCAATGTCCAAACCTTTTTGTGGTGGGTCTTCCGCCCAGCTGTGTACTCTGTTTTAATTTAAGCCAACATTTCCAACATAGCCATGGCATGCCATGACATTCCGAACCATAATTCGCAGTTCGTCAGATTAAATTGGAAATCCCCATTTTTTCATATTTCAAGACTCTTCCATGTATTTGGAAATAATATCGCCATCATATTTTCATACATTTATTATCATAGATGTCCATTTGTTTACTCGAGTTCTTTCACCTGTGCATGACTGCTGTCACTGTCTTCCGTGCATCTCCCACGGGGTGCACTGTCACGGGGTGCACTGTCAAGGTTTCGACCCCTGTGGTCAGATGGGTTGTTGACACTTTGGGCCGCTTCGGAGTTTGCGACTCAGAAGATCCTGGGGTGATTTTTTTAAAGGTTGAGCAGCTGGCCTGAGACGGAAAGAATTGGATGTGAGTCTTGGTACTTCAGCTTTGTATCAAGATGTGTCAAGATGAAAGTGGCTAAGGATTTGCTGCACATTTTTAGAGTCTTAGTGATTGATTTCAAGATTTTCAAGCAACAAGATGCAGAAAGTCTAGGCACCTTTGTTACAATCCTGTTGGCTGTCCAGATGCCATCAGATGCCTTTTTTTTGCCATGCCTGGACCTGCAGACTCGGCTCAAGTCTCCATTTTCGGACGCCAACCAAAACCAAATCCATGCAGGGAGTGTTCCTCTGGGAATTTTCCCTTAAACTTTCAATGAGGTGACAACACACCCAATGAGCAAAAAGAAAGTACAGTCCCCGTGGTGTCGCAATATGAGGCTCATTCCACGAGGAAACTTCATTGGTTTGAAACGAGGCATGCAAGATTGGAGTCACACGGGGCTGTTGAGATGTGGCGTAGGAGTTGGGGCTGTTGGGGAGAAAAAGTAAACTTTAGAGATATGTATTGCTTTCAGAAGGGGGACCCCCAAAATCGGAATCTGACTGGGGGAAATGTCGATGATAAACGAGATTTCGGGGTTTCAACATGTTCCATTTTTTGAGAGAAGCCTTGAAGGCGTGTGTAGATGTATGCCTCATATCTCATATCTTAATTCAATGGATTGGTTTAAGGGAAATTTTACAGGAAAGCCCCATAATTATTTTTTTGTGGAAAACCATGGTTTCCGGTGTAGATTTTCCCTTCTACATCCTTCCACCAATCCAGTGATTAATCTACCAACAGAAAATACAAGCTTTGGAATGGGTTTTGGCCACCAAGGCTCCAATGCCGTGAAGGAAAGAATCGCGTGGTCGCATTATGTGCGCCCCTTTGGGTGTGCAGCTGCCAGGGGTGTGCCGCTTCGATCCAGGACTGAATATCTCCCAGGGTCCCAGAAATTCCAAAGCTAATATATCTATAACATACATGGGAATAACATATTTTCATGATCACAATAGTAATACCCATAGCAGCCTATAATCTAAAGCATTCTTTGAACAAAAATAAAGCCTACAATCCAAGAATGGCCTCATAAATCGGTCCAGAAACTTGCCAAATGGCTTACTTATGGGACCTAGCGCATCTTTGACAGCCAAGGTATCTACGGCAAAGCCTTCAACACATCTGGTTGAGGTGGTGCCAAGTTTGATTTCTTGGATTACTTTTTGATTAACCACATTTAAAGTGAGAGTGAGCAGAATTGTAGTCATCCCAAATTCCACAAGTTCCTCTTGGGCTCACGAGCCAGAAAGTGTCATTCGTGTCCAAAAGAAGGGACTAGCTGCCTAGCTGACCCGATTCAAGCAAGAAAGATGTGGCTTGTTTGAGGTACAGCGTATCTTTCTGGGGTTGTCAGAACTGGGATATCTCGACATATCTTGACATCCGAAAAACACACCCAAAACCAATGCCATCCGGCCGTGCAGGTCACCGATGAGCAACACAGTGGCTTCTTTGCCAAGCATCCACGGGTGCAGAGGGTGTAACAGACGACCTGGTTTCGGGGAGCCAACTCGGTGTCATGAAAAACATATCTGTGACATGGCAGTGGTGTTAAATATTTTTAGTGCTGAGAATTAATTAATTGGATATGATATGGTGTTCTAAATCCGTTTTTTTGTTGATTCGATGATTCGATATATTGGGGAGTATCATGATCCAGCTGGGGATTTCCTATTGATCAACCACTGGAATCAGGAAGGGTTCTTGAACACTGCCCATTTGGATATAGTGGGAACATCATGCCACAAAATGGAAACAATTAAACATGGCTGGGAAATATGCCGAACTATATGATCATGAATGGAGTTTCAGTGGGACAATAATCTACAAATGGTGGCTTGCCCATTTGCAATCTTTGATTGGCGGGGTAGATGAGAAGATGCCATTTGAGGGTGTTGACCTGATCGATCTTACCTTTTTTAGCTTAGAATATAATCATTACCATCTGGTTATTTAACACCGCCATGGAACATCACCATCTTTAATAGGTAAACCATCTACAGTATTTCAATGGGCCATCTATACCATTGCTATGTTAGTCATAACCAGAGGGTAATCATTTAATTGTTAAATAACCAGAGATAACAATAGGTAATCCTTGGAGATTTCTGGCAAAAAAGACTGGCTTCAGAAGCACCCAATGAGCTTTTGCTGTTTGCCAGGATGAGCTGAAGCGCTTTTTGGGCACCTTTTTCCCGCATCCGATCCGCTTCCGGCAGATTTGGCCCATAGCTCAGCTTGGTTTCTACCCAGGGTAAAACCTGGAGCTTTCTTTCCCGCAAAACCAAGTAACTCAAACAGTTCAATGGAGAGGATAGGATAGCATAGATAGCATAGATAGTGTAGATAGCATAGATACTATCCCATTGCTTCAATTTTCCCCATTCCCCTGGATATGTTTGACACTTCAGGCGATCAAAGGATAAATCGAACGCCTTGTGCCTTGGCTGTCGCCTTTCCTGCAGCTTTTTTCCCTGCGGAGTTGGTCGATGTTTGTCCCAGGCAAACCCTAAATCCACCATTTATATCCATTTATATCCATTTATATCCACTTATATCCATTTATCCCAAATGGGAATCGTCATTTTCGTTGTTTAAATGGAGGGTATACACACCATTTTGGGTCTACACTCTGGTGGATGTTGGTGAGGGCTGAATTTGACCAAGGCGATGCTCAAATTTGAAGCGCCCTGAGGTATATTTGGGCACCAGTTCCGCCCTCCAGCGACTATGTGGCTGTCGGCATGTTGTGCACCACCGTGGATGAGGCCAGAGTTGGGATTGGCGTGGGACAATGTTGAAGTGGGTCTCAAAATGGAATAGAGTATACTTCCAATTAGCAATTATGACCTATCTTCAGACAAACCCAGATATTTATAGATGATATATATATATATTATTATTATTATTATTATTATTATAAAGATATTTAAAGATATGTAGTTACTTATACACAGATAAAATAAAAAGTGTTTGGCACTGTTCAGTAAGAGTTTCAGTGCTTCCGGAGCTGCGGAATCCATTTTGAATCACCGTCTCATCATTCGGTCAAACCATGGCATGTGGGGTAGGTTCACTACCATTGTGAATGGGATTCCTTACACTGGGGTATAGCAACCCCTATGAGGATAGTGGACGGTCATCAGCCCATCATCCTTATCATCATCCTCATCCTCATCATCATCATCATCATCATCCTCATCCTCATCCTCATCCTCATCCTCCTCCTCTGAAGACTTGCCTAACCCCAAACAACTCATTACTTAACCTCGAACAGGTTATAGCTTAACCTTGAACAACTGTCTTTCCTAACCTTGACTTGAGTTCGTCTGGTGCTGCTTTTGGATCAAAGATGATGAGCTGGTGCATGAGACTTTGCTCGCCGGTGCTGGTTGCATGGCTGCTTTCATGAGCAAGAACGGCAAGGCCAGAGAGGACAGATTCTGAGCAGATTTGTTGTATCTACTGTACACCTTGTGCAAAACTAGTCCTCGATGTGCTATGTCCAATCTGGCAGCAGGAATCCAAAAGTGGTGAACAAACTTTCCGGCGAAAAGTGGAGGAAGCTCACAGAAGCTGAGAAGATGCCGTACAAGGCTTGTGTGTGGCTGAAAGAGATTGCAGCTTCTGTGTGATTCTTTTCTTTTGTTTTTGTTACAGCTATTGATTTCTTGTGCCAGACCAAATTCGAAGAGAAGAGGGAATACTTCGAGGCCAGGTCCTTGGCGCTGAAGTATTTCCGGACATCCGGTCGCTGCTTTCCATGTTGAGGCGGCTATGAGGCATTTGGCCAAACGCAACAATCGGAAATTTGCCCATAGCTGAGGACACAGCAGCAATCATTCATCCAATTCTTGTTTCTTGCCATCGATACATGGGGCAAAGTCTTACAACCAAATGATTTCCACAGTTTCACAATTAGTGCATCCAGAAGTTGTCTATCACCGGAATGTGAAGCTTCCCATAATTTCTCATAGATTCTTAGAATCGTTTGCTGCTGTACGGCGAACCATGGACTGGGAGGATGCATTTCCCATGGGTGCTCAAGACGTGGACCTTATCGGGCGTGTGCAGATGTTGGGCTTCGGTCACTACCAGAAAGTGTGCCTTGGCAGTTGAGAAATTGACACAGCTTGTCGATTTGCCAAGCGTACATTATTCGATAAAAAACTTGCTTTTTGCCATCTTTTCTCATGCGGCTATGAGGAAAGACCTCAGGTCTGGAAAAAAAACGGGCCAAGAGCTATTTTAGGTAACCTTTTGCAAGGGCATGCCATGTACCACTGGCAAATGGACAACTGGAAACTGAGGAAGCAGCGTTCACTTTCTCAAGCAATCTTCTGTTTGTGCCTCAGTCATCCCATAGCTTGTCACGCAGTCGTCCCTTGGTTGGTCCTCGCAAATGCGCACGGATAGCTTGTCACACAACGACCAGTTCGTTTGTGAGAAAGTAGCTGCATAGTTTGTCACACAGTGATTCTGTTTGTGCCTCAGTCATCCCATAGCTTGTCACGGTTGGTCACATAACGCGTCCTTGGCTTGCTGACAACGCACCTGCAGCTTGTAATAAAGCGACTTGTTGCACAAGGGTCTTTTTTGCTTGTCACCAATGCGGACAGATAGCTTGTCACACAGCGACTAGTTAGTTTGTCAGATAGTACCTGCATAGTTTGTCACACAGTGACTGTTCTGTTTGTGCTTCAGCCCTTTGGTTGGCACAGAACGCCTGCCTCCTTGACTTGCTGACAGCGCACCTGCAGCTTGTAATAAAGCGACTTGTTGCATAAGAGTCTGTTTTGCTTGTCACCAATGCGGACGGATAGCTTGTCACACAGCGACTAGTGACTAGTTTGTTTGTCAGATAGTGGCTGCATAGTTTGTCACACAGTGACTGTTCTGTTTGTGCCTCAGTCATCCCATAGCTTGTCACGCAGTTGACAACGCAGCGGCAGCTTGAAAAAGAGCGATTTGTTGCATAAGAGTCTGTTTTGCTTGTCACCAAATGCGGACAGATAGCTTGTCACACAGCGACTAGTTAGTTTGTCAGATAGTACCTGCATAGTTTGTCACACAGTGACTGTTCTGTTTGTGCCTCAGTCATCCCATAGCCTGTCACGCAGTCGCCCTTTGGTTGGTCACATAACGCGTCCTTGACTTGCCGACAACGCACCTGCAGGTTGTAAGTACATATCTGTAGACAGCATATCCAAATGCTTCGACCAAAACAGCTGTTTCTTGCAGCAAATCTTCCAGTGAAAATCAATGCAGCTACCAAACTGCCTCAATCCAGCTGAAAACGACTCAAATCCAGAAATGAATGCATTCCATGACAGGACTCTCCACGGTTTTGAAGGCCCTCCAGAGCATGCTATGGGCACACGGCTCAGTGCTTAGGTGGTGACTCTTCAGGCGTTGCATTTGAACAACATGAAGTCATTGAAAGATTGAGAGCCATGGCGGTGGAACAGGTTCAATGCTGAAAATTCCAGAGCTACTTTCATATGATGAGTCAACACTCAGGTGTTCGTTCAGCCATTCCTTGATATATTTTTGCCTCAAGTTTCACAGCTAGCTTCATATGAGTCAACACTCAGCTGTTCAGCCATTCCTTGATATATTTTTCCTCAAGTTTCACAGCTAGCTTCATATGATGAGTCAACACTCAGCTGTTCAGCCATTCCTTGATATAACATTGTCTCAAGTCTTCAAAGGATGAAGCATCGATAGAAGACAAGCTTTCTTGCAAATTTTTCCAAGGTCTACGGGAGCTTTTTTTGGCCACTAAATTAGTTTACGGGATCTTTGTTTGCCACTAAATGAGTCTAGGGGAGCTTTGTTTGCCAGCGGGAACTGTTTTGGCAACTAAACTAGTTTACGGGCCACTCAATTAGTGTCAGGGGCCGACCCCCAAAGTAGCAGTAGTTCCCCTCCCCGAACTATTTCCATCCCGACCCGAAGTTGTAGTTGTTTGCCCCCCCGCACCCCCCCAAAAAAAAAGTCAAGTTGTAGTTGTAGTTGTTCGCAGAAGGGGCGGGGTCTACAGCATTGTACGTGAGCTTTTGTTGCCATTAAGTTAGTCTACGGGAACTTTGTTTGCCACTAAATGAATCTACGGGAGTTTTTTTTGCAACATTTTGCAACTAAATTAGTCTACGGGAGCTGTTTTTTATCACTAAACTAGTCTACGGGCCACTCCATTAGTGTCAGGGGCCGGCCCCGAAAGTAGTAGTAGTAGTTCGCCCCACCACCCGAACTACTACTATCCTGACCCGAAGTAATCCCGAAGTTGTAGTTGTTTGCCCTCCCCCGCCACCCGAAAAAAACAGTCAAGTTGTAGTTGTTTGGGGAGGGGGCGGGGTCTGCAGCAGTGTACGGGATTTTTTTTTGCCACTCACTTAGTCTACAGGAGCTTTTGTTGCCACTAAACTAGTTTACGGGAGCCTGTTTTGCAACTAAGCTAGTCTACGGGAGCTTTCGTTGCCACTAAATTAGTTCGCGGCCATTTTTTTTTGCAACTAAATGATCCTACGGGAGCTTTTTTGGCCACTAGGTTGTATTTGTTTTCCCCTTCTGCCCCCCGAAAATTAAAAAAAACAGTCAAGTTGTAGTTGTTCGGGGAGGGGGCGGGGCCTACAGCACTGTACGGGAGCTTCCACAATGTGATGAGGTACTGGCAGGAAGTAGGTTTTCCATGGTTTTTCCATGGGAATCTGCAAGTGCTTGGAAGGGTATTTTCGGATTGAAACTTGGAAGTAAATCAGTTTTGCATCCCAGAGTCATGGAGTCATCCATACTACCCCCCTTTTTGGACATTTGCCATGGGCAAACATAGGAAGAGCAGCAATAAATTCATGGCGCTTTTTTTTCAGGCACGTGATGATGCCTTGGCAGCTTTCAATGAGGATCCCACTCTGAAGGCAATGGACGTTGAACTGTCGGAATTGATCAATGGATAACGGTCCCGCCATTAGTATAGCATATGATGTACTAGTATTCATCAATTTAATAATGGGACCCATCATTAGTAGGTCCCACTATACTATTAAGTATGAGGGAATCATCATGATGGATCAAGACATCTGGAACCCGTTTCTTGGATGAATTGGGTCGATAGGAATGGGGATTAACATGCGCTGGGATTCACCTGAGGTGATCCTCATCTCTTTGATGAAAGCTGGTGAAGAGGGCTTGAACATGCAGGCGCATTAATGCAGATTTGAGAGGAAATGTGCCACCAGACGCATCAGTTGGAAACTAGTAGAAACTATCCAACCTGATTCAACATATATTCCCCATGAAATTTGATATTGTTCAACCATAATTCACATTATTATTAACTTTTGTGAACACTGGCATGTATTGTGTTGTATATGTGTCTATCTGTCTTATCCCCCAATAGGTCTCTCTGATGTGCATGTCGTGCCGCTACACTTTGGCAGGTCTGTCTCCGATCTGGAGCCCACGCCGGCTCACGCACCAGAGTAAAAAAACTGACTGTGGGTTGTGCACTGGGATTGTTCGTGGTTGTTCATAGTCATAGTTAAAGATGCACTGCTGGTTCGGGGTTAAGTGTAACGCTGTGCGGGGTTAAGAATGTGGAATTGGTACGGGGTTAGGCGCGTGTCCCCCTCCTCCTCCTCTTCCTTTTCCTCATCCTTCTCCTCCTCCTCCTCATCATCATCAGCATCATCATCATCATCATCATAATCATCATCATCAGCATCAGCATCATCGTCATCGTCATCGTCATCGCAATCGTCATCGTCATCATCATCATCAACATCATCATCATCATCTTAATCATCATCACCATTACCATCATCATCATTATCGTCATCATCACCATCATCGTCGTCATCGTCATTGTCATCATCATCATCATCATCATCATCATCGTCATCGTCATCGTCATCGTCATCGCAATCGTCATCGTCATCATCATCATCATCATCACCATCATCATCTTAATCATCATCACCATTACCATCATCATCATCATCATCACCATCACCATCACCATCAGCATCATCATCATCATCACCATCACCATCACCATCACCATCATCATCATCATCATCACCATCATCATCATCCATGCTTTATTCAATTCATCATCTCAGACTGCGGATGGTTGCGAAATCCAGCAGGCTCCAGACCTCGAGGAGTTGCGCTGCATGCCCAGGAGTGGCACGTGGCGACACCATGGCGAGTCTTTGTCATTATGCGGGGTGGGTTAAACACGGTTAAACAATAGGTATAGGGATACCATTATAGGTGTGGTAAGCCATGATATATGGGTTTTGATCACTGAATGTGCGGATATACGACTGATACATGCTGGTCGATAAATGATAAATGATTAGTTCCGGCGTTAAAAAGTAACGCATGAATTGGTGATTATCATCATGTAGGAACTGGGAATTCCCGTTCTTCACCAACCAGCATATGTAGTGGAATGACAGGTTTGGTCTGTGAAGACCGGTTGGCTACCGGATCATTTGGACTTGAATCACAGGTACTGACGCTTTACTGGATGTTGTTTTTGGTTGTGCATCGGTTCAGTGAGAACACTCCAGGACTTGAAAGTCACTATAGGTCAAGGCATGTGATAAACAAACGTTTGAAAAAATATTCCGAGTCAGCAAGTGATATCACCTGCGAACTCAGGGGCAGTTTCCACCGCAGAGTTCTGGTTCCAAGCAGCATGGTGAGCCGCAACCAGAATCAGCAGAGATCACCCCATCGACAAACCGACACGTTCTTTTCCATGGCTTCATTATTGCCAAAATCCTTGAAAAAAACAGAAAAATATAAACAATACACACTGTTCGGAAGCCTGTCCTTGGCTCCTAAAAGCCCTGTTCATGGCATAGAATGGCTTACTATTCTGGTTTCAACTTCCAGGCCCTCGGCCATGCCGCGCTCATCGTTTCATGTGGCACTGGTAGCCAGTGCTTTGAACCTTGGATGCCATGGGCCCCCTGGTGAAGATGGGATTTACAGTTATCTATTGATATCTATTGATTCAGTATGTATTCGTATCATTTCGTATCGGGCAACCATATAATTCTGATTTGATTTACAGATGTATGACTTCCCGTTGCCAGTTGAATTATGAATGCTGGGCTGCCAGGAGTGCCTGCAACGCTAGTGTTTGGACAGTTTGCAGTGGCTTCCTTCCAGCGGGACTCCATTCTTTGAGTGAAAAGTATTGAAAAAGTAAGAAACCAAATAATCCCATGTACTGTACTGTAAAGAACCTGAAAATGAATACACAAAGAGATGAAAAAGTGAGTTATCACTACTTCAGTCGGAAATTGTCCTTTCTATCTCTTCGGGAAATGTTATAGAAAAAACTTCAACCCCAAGGATTGCTTCGCCACGGATGCTGGTGGGCCCTGCCAACCCTGCGCAGCTGCGGCCTCGAAGTTCTCGAAGTTCTCGAAGCGCCAGATGGTCGGCAACTGGGTATGGATGAATATTCTGGATGCGCCATTTATACCTTGAATTTTGACCCACATACATTTTTTATATTAGTATATAAACGTCCACACACACAGACACACACACATATATGTATATACACATGTTTTTACATATATTATATACATATATACATACAGATAATTACAACATATATTTATGCATATATTGATATATTCATGAGAAAAAATCCTGGACCCTTGGGGTAACCCTTATTCTTGCAGAATATATATATATATATTATAGCATATACATTTTGATCCTACAGGGATACTTTCTAAAGACAAGGGGTTTGACTTGTGGTGCATGTGCATTAGCTGCCCCTCACTGCAGCAGTTCAGAGTGACCATGTTGGTCAAGAAAGTATTTTTTCCTGGCCATGGCAGCTGCCCCAGCCTGTCTATGTACTACTTGGACACCACTGGCCTAACTTTGTGGAGCATCCTCCCTATTTTCACAGAGATCTTTGGTAAAACGTCCAGGCCAGGATTTACCAACGAACAAATATATATCTATATGTATATATGCCTATATATATGCCTGTGCATACTGATTTACGTATCTACAAGACATACAGTACCAAATCAGAGATAGAGAGAGAGAGAGAGTACCAAATCAAGTGTCAAGTAATCAAACGCCCCACTGCTGTGCACGGATAGCTCCTGCAAGATCCAATTGTGATTGAGATGGCGCGTTGTGGTCCAAGAAGTTTTGGTGACTTGGTGAGTCACTTTGTGCACGCCTGGTTAACCAGAACCCAAGTGGTCGCTACATGTCAATATATTGATATAACATGTTGCAGCTTCCAACCCTCCGTTGCAAAGGTATTTATAGGAGTTGTGTCTCCAATCATTCTTCAACGGGTGTTTGATAGAACGGGGGTTGCTTGTAATCCCCACTATATCCCCATTATGTCCCCACTACATTTCCACTATATCCCCATAGAATTCCCATAGAGTGGTGGGGAACCCCATACAATTCCAACAAAACATCCCATCAATTTCCCATGAATTTCCCGAAAAATCACGAAGAACCCAGGCCTCCCCGGACGGAGCAGAAGGCGTCGTTGACGACGATTGGCGCCGCTTCCGCGCGCGGCTCCTGCAGCGGGAAGACGCGCTGACAGAAGACGTGGCCAAAGGGACCATGGAGAAGGAGTTGATGTGGGAAGGGTGTAAGGTGGGGCCCCCAAACGGCTAAGTTGGTGAAAAGTTGGTTTATGTTATATAACAATAACTTATATCTAGGGTAAGAACATGTAAGAACTCGATACTAGATACAGTATCTAGGGTAACTATGGGTAACTAGTATGGTCCTGGGGCGCCCCAGCATTTGTGGGGCTTGGAGGAAATTCCCGTAGGATCATGGGCTACCAATGGCTACCATCCTTCCAGCAGCATGTTAGTTGGGGACTGTAACGGGGCTAGATATGATTTTCCACCACAAAATTCTGCAGAGGGTAACCATGGATAGGCCATCTATACATGTTTTTGCGGGCATGCCACATGTTGGGCTAGGAATGGGTTGTGATTCATTGAGATTTTTTCAGGATGGCGGGATGGGACTTAATCTATGCAGTGAGTGATTCGAAAGAATTACCAGCCTGCACATGCCGATTTAGAGACTCAACTAAAATCTGGTGTGGCAACCTTGGAAGTTTCACTAAGGGAGGTCTCCAACCTTACTTAGGGTGCGTCAGCCAAATTAGGGCGATAACACAAATTATGACTCATGGCTATATTTGGTGTGGTGTATGAATATGATTAATTATTACACAATGCCAACCAAGGGTTAAAAGTTACTTACTGGGGGGCTTACCCATTCCAATTCAGCTAAATTGTCACCCTTTTTGGGGGTAGTCAGGGTTTATCTTCTGGTAATCAACTGTGGCCATGCAAAATCATCGAACTAAATGATGGATTTCCCCGCTTGCCACGGTTGATTGCCAGCGGCTAGGCAAAGGATTATATTGTCAAATATATATAAATATATTAATATATTAATATATATATATATAGTGTTTTGCAATGGAACATGACATCATCCCAGTGAAAAGTAAAGGATAGTAAAGGTCTAAATCTCATGAATAGCCTACAATAATGAATCACCTTTAATAATACTGATCATGGATTGTAAATATTACTCGTAGGTTACCCCAATCATATTCTACAATTACATATTACATCCAATTAGGTTGCAGTTATTGGGTAATAATTACGATAATACTAATGTAATACTAATGACATTTAATGGGTAATACTAATGATCTAAAGTTCATCCATTTTAGGACCCCACAACCCTCTCTGATTCACCAGGGCTGGATCCACCGCAGTCCACTCATCGAGAAAGGCTCAGTGCTTTTGGCCAAGCCTGGCGATGCCTAGCTCAAGCAGTGTTTTTTCGAGTGGAAAAACATGGAAAACCAATGAAAACCATATTTTTTACACATTGCAAAAATCTATAAACCAACTGAGAAAAATAGAACGACAATTTGCAACAAATTGTTTTAGATGATGTTAGTAGGATTCACTGAATTTCATTCATTGGAACCGCAATGGGGGGTCTCGTTTAGTCTATTTAGTCCAGTGGGATTTGGCTTTTATGTATGCTTGTCGTTTTTGAGGTTATCATACAGTCATACAGCAACCTACATCAATCAACCCCTGAAACAATAACGATATATATATATATATAAGTATACATATAATATGTACTATATTATCATCAATAAAAAAAACACCAGACCCAACAATGGCCCTTTCACAACCCCTTGGACACAGCAAATTCTGACACCAATTTGTTGATGGTTTGGAATCTTGCAGTTAGCCGAGTCAGTGCAAAGTGATGGAAGGGGTACAAAAAGCTTTGCTTTTTGTGGGATCTTGTGGGTGTTGAATGGAGGGCATCCACCAACATGGATAAGTTTGATGCACCTTGTTTGCTTTATTTTGCCTATGTTTATCCGACATTCTCCAGAAGCCTCTTACTTTGGCCAGCATCAACTTTGCATCAGCCACTGATCATCACTGCAAAAACATACTGCCATGTTGCGACGGAGGAATGGGCGGTGATGTTTCCATTTTTCCACAAATCGGTCATCCTCATCACCGATCACGAGGATGAATACACCCGGGGTCGCTCGGCAGGTGAAGATCCTCTGGGAATCACGGCAATTAAACATGCTTTGCGGGAAAGCCCTCCCAAGCAGCGGTTCAATCATGTGTTCCCCAGTATAAACCGCCATTTGCAGCGGGTGGTCCATATGTTCCCTATATTTTCCGATGTGTTTCCCATTCTTTTCCATTTGGTTCAAAGTTTATTGTTATCAGTGAGCCCGCCATGTCGCCAGATTCGCCAGGTTTCGTGCTCAATCGCCCAACGACCAGAAGCGAAAGTTATGGTCGCCTCGAATTCAACGTGTGGTACGGCGCCTTGACACTGATGATTTGTGTTCCTTTGCCTCTTTGCTCCCCAGTCATCCAGTGTTCAATGTTCAACAGATTCTGGTGGAACTTACATGAACTTACTTCAACTTGTCTGTATTTACTTATCTATTAGACTGCTTGCCTGGTGATACAGGACTGGAGCCCTGGAACAATTTCTGACCTTGCGGATTGAAGGCATCAACACCACTCCGTTCTGTTGGTTTGTTTCGCATGGTTTGGAGTCGGTTGGGGATGAACAAACCTCTGCACCAGTTGGATGCTGAATTTCCGTGGGGATGCAGACACATCCCGTATCCATCCCCTATACATCCCATATCTACAGTATCGTAAAGTGACTATCTTTGGGTTTGAAAATACTGTACCTCTAAAGCCATTAGGCCATTAATGATAAAAAAAAACATTTATCCGACAAAAGCAGAACATAGCAGAACATAGCAGAACCATTTTGCGGTATCGTATATAGTAGTGTGTATATATATATATGCAAATATGATCATATGTATATGTATCACACATATGTTTTATTTATATATATATATGTATTTACATATTGGTATATTTATATCTATCTATCTATATGTATATATATATATATGTACATATATATATATGTATATATATATTCTTATGTTCACACACAGCCATGGCTTTCAAGATTCAGTCGCCGTCCACAAAACGAGGCGGACCCTGTGAAGGTGCCTCCTCAGATCCATCGATGCCATCGACGAAGCTTGGCCGAGCGAAAAATTGCCATGACCTAAATCTTTCGGAGATTGGATAAAATCTGTAAATAAATAGAATGATATTAATGATTATCTGGATGAAATATTAACTATGATATTAATGATATTAATGATAATGATATTACCCTCTGGTAAACTAACATAGCTATGGAAAGATCCACCATTTTTAATGGGTAAATCAACTATAAATGGGCCATTTCCAATAGCTACGTTAAATTACCAGAGGGTAATGATTATCTGGATGAAATATTAGTTATGATATTAATGATATTAATAATAAAACCTGTGCTGTATATATCTGGATATTAATGATATAATGGGATAATATAATGGTAAGGCTGGATATATGACATAATTGCATATAATGATCATCATGATTATCATTACTAGTGTAGTCTTACTGGTGCTAAACGTAGGGAATTTTCGGGAATGATCCATTGGCTCACTAGTAATAATCATCGGAGCAACCCCCAGCAACCCATCCATTCCCTTCGTTTAGCACCAGTAAGTAGTAGGCCAAGCATCTCTGATCCAGACATTTATACTACATTTATGTCATTCATGGGTTTAATCCAAGTAACCTAGTAGTAATCGAGAGGTAGATTATCTTTATTCATGTATATTTCATGTCATCCAATCTGGCATTTATGTAATCCATCTAGAGAACCATCTAACAATCTAGCAATGTATTTTAGAATCTAGTAATGTTTGGTAATCTTGTAATCTAATGGTAAATTTCTCTAATAATCTAGCAATCTATAGTAATCTAGTAATGTGGTTAAAACAATGTCATAAACCATCCCCCAGTCATCACCATTTTTACAGGTGGTGTGTTGCTTACCATTCCCAGTCATGGGTGGTCTATGGCATTGAATTGTTTTACTCACATTATTAGGCATTGTTTATCAACTAACCATGATGATGATCAGCAAACATCGAAAATTAGTGGTGATTAATGGTGATGATAATTTATAGTATATAATCTAGTATAATCACCATGAAAATCACCACTAATGTTCGATGTAGATCCATGTAGTTTTACTGAGATGTATCTAACATGATATCTAATTATATCTACCCTCTGGTTATTTAACATAGCCGTGGAAAGATCCACCATGCTATAAGAACGGTAAACCATCTATTTCTATGGGCCATTTTCCATGCAATGAGATGTAGATCCAGTAGGCAGCCCGGTGGCTGAGGACCGGCCTCTTCGGGGCCACAGCCCAAAGGCGGGTGGACACGCGTGGCAACGCGGGGTCTGGGGATGACAATTTGAACCCCCCATGTTTTGGCATCCAGCCATAAATGGGGGTTTCAAATGGGATAGCATATCTGGATTTAATATGATTTAATGGCGTTTGATGAGATTTAATCATATTTCATCAGCAAACATTGTGATTTTATCGTGATTTCATGGGATTTAAAGCTACGTTTGGCAGTTCTGACAGCACCCAACTTTCCATTTACGGGATCGCAACAGTTATGATCTCACCAGATCCGACTCCGCGGAGGCAGTTCTGCCTCCACTCTCAGCCTTTGCCTGGTTCAGATTTGGTGGCACCAGGCGCGCGCAATCCCCTGCAGTTGGAAGATCCATGAAGATCCCATGGGGCTTGGAAGATCCCCTGCAGTTGGATCCATGAAGATCCCCAGGCATCTTCTGCAATCTTCAACCACGCCGATAGTATCTTCAAGAGACCAGGAAAATTCAAGCTCAATCATAGCCACGAGGTATCTACATGACCGAACCCTGGGCAGCTTCTAGATCCATCATGGAGGGCAAGGTCGGGTGTGTGTTGGGCGGTCAGGGCCAGTTTCCTTGCCCTTTCGTGTCCTGATTATCTCTCAGGCCAAGGGTTTTTCACGCAGAGAACCTGATTTTGTTTGTTGGAACCTTTGGGACGATTGCTGTTCTATTTTGCTTTGTTTTGGTGTATTCTTGTGTTTTCAGTTCTGTCCGTTTTGGTAAACTCCTTTATGATCCTCCCTAACCCATTTGCAGCATGGGGCATTGTCAACATTGGTGGGTTGACGCTGGAAAAGACATATGAAGAGTGCATGACGCTGGTTGCACCGTTGTACATCCACATTTTCTCCATACATGAAAGGTCTTGCATTTTGCGGCCTAGTGCGAACAGGTTGCACAACGTTGCACAGAAAAACAAAGGCCTGATAGGCATAGAAGTTGATGGCCAAGGATGCCTTATGTTTTCCTGATTCTCCAGATGTTTGTCGGCGGCAACATTGAGACCCAAGTATTTGATGGTGAAAAACCTGGTTTCTGTAGCTCCTTATCTTCAACCAGCCAAAACCAACCCATTGAATTGTATATACATACATTATATCTGACATATTTTTGAAGATGGCCCATTGGTTTTTTTTAAAAACTGGACCCAGAAGCTTCACTCTCCAAACAGCGATTTGGAGGCTCAAGTGGATGATTTCATGCTGCTGGTCGGCCACTGCATGTGGGGCCCCGGCCAGTTGCAAGCTGAATTGGATGAGGCAGCGGGAAATGTCCAGGGCAAGTCCTTTCTGGGGTCCACTACTGTGTCCACTACAGTAACTGCTCCCTTTGCCTGGAAGTGTGACCTACCAAAGACAGCCAAATGATTTGAGAATTATATGTCCCTGCTACGGTACTTGCACAACCTGTTTCTGGCATTCCGGAGCCTTCTCTACAAATCACCCAAGTCCAGAGCCTGTGTACACCAGCTCATCCAGCTCTTATTTGGCCATTGGCATTTGGCAAGATTATAAGGCAAGGAGCCTGTGAACATTCCTTCTGAATTGGGAGGGAAAGATCCCAATAAAAACCCAACATGGCCGATCTCCTGTCGGTCGCAGTGCGTCACATTGTCCAAGGGGCAGACCTGGGAGATGGCAGCAATGGACACAAAGGCCGGGAGCTGCGGCTGTGGATTGCCAGGGTTTGCTACAAGCTATTTGGGGATTGGCCATATGGGGCAGCTAACGATGGGCTGGGAGCCCAGTTATCTCAACAGCAAAACGGTCAGTTGAGGCTTGTAGGGGCATATTTCTGCTGTTTACACCAGTTTGTGATGGTTCTGTTATTTTATCTCTTAGATTACAATAGACGCTGTGGGCTATTTTGGACTAATAAGTTTAACCAGCCCTAAACCAACCCTAAATACACCCTGAACCAACTTCAAATAAACCCTTAACCAACCCTAAATAAACCCTTAACCAAACTAACCAAACCCTAAATAATCCTAAACCAACCCTAGATAAACCCTCAACAAACCTGACCCTAAAGAAAACCCAAGGCAACCTTCTTAAAAAAAAATATAACTAAACCAACCCAAGCTAACCGCATGAGAGATCCAAGCTCCAAAATGTTGCAAATGGCCCCAACAAAATTCCTAAACCAACCTTAAACCCCAAATCAGGCCTAAATAAACCCTAAACCAACCCTAAATAAACCCTAAACAAACCTTAAACCAACCCTAAATAAATCCTAAACAAACCCTAAATCAACCCTAAACAAACCGCCAACAACCCCCAAACAAAACGTAAACCCACCGTAAAGTTACATGCATTTTTAAACCAGCCACAAATAACTAACAACTAAGCAAACCCTAAGCAAACCTTCGACAACTCCCAAAATGGTCTCAACCAACCCTAAATAAACCCTAAACCAACCTAAGCCAACCTTCCAAAAAAATATAAATCCTTAAACCAACTGTAAGTCAACATGTTGCCAATACCATGCGCATGAGAGATTCAAGCTCCAAAATGTTGCAAAAAGCAGTCGAGTGAGAGATCCAAGCTCCAAAATGCTGCAGACACCGTGCCAATGAGAGATCCAAACTCCAAAATGCTGCAAGTACCACGCAAATTAGACATCTAAGTTCCAAAACGTTGCAAATGCCAGGTTAAACCACCTCGGCCAGAAAACGGGAAAAACAAATCCCAAAAGGAAACGAGACAAAAAAAAATCCAGCCTTAACTTTAGAACGATGACCACTCCTTTACTATTCACACTTGGAACCCACTATGAAATCCCACATTTTGGTGATGCAGGCAATTTGCACATGGGATGATTCATTATCAAATACTACTGTGATCCAACTTGCGTATTTTGATGGATTTGTTTTGGTGTTTTTAAATGGTAATGTTCATCAACATTTGATGTACATTTTGGGGAACATATCACCAAACATATTGTACCCAAACATAGCCAAAAAGCAAAACAAACTCAACAATTTGGCATCTTTTTTGGGGACGTAGCATTAAACATGCGCAAGACTACCCCAGAAAAAACAACATAACAAGACGATAAAGAAAACAACAAATCTGGTGCAGCCTACCATATTCCCACTAATGTTAGTAAAGCAATAGTAAACAATCCCCAATTTTACTACACATGGATGGTATAAAACGTCAAAACCTGGGTGCTCTGTTTAGATTATTGCCTTACCAACATAAAAATTCTTAAATTCCCCCATGACCCACCAATCTCAGGCGGTCCTTCGCTTCCTCCCCCGACAGCAACGCGCCCTGCGGCGGCAGCGCTGTTTGAGTCGGGGCTTTCCCCTGTGGCGCAGGCAGCGCACGCAGGAAGGTGTGCATCCCAATTAAATGGATAGCTTGGGTAAAGATCGCATACATGACTTGTAACCACCACTGTCAATGAATCGGCTGGCATGCCTATCCAAGCACTTGGCGGCTTGTAAAAAACGAGGCATGGACCAGCATGTTGTTGCTGGAAGGCCCTAGGACATTGACTCCATGAGGTTTGTGGTGGACTCAACGGTTCCCTGTCCAGTGTCCAACTGTCATGTTTTGCATGAGGTAGTCTCCGGTAATCAAACATGGCTAGCCGTGAAATCCACCATACATGAGCAAGTGCAAAAACATCATCGAACTACAGCACCTATTGTTGAAGTATGAAGTATCAATATTCAAGCGATGATTTTTTCCTGTTTGGTATTCCAACATAGTCATAGAAATTCATTTTTTTTTGGGTAAAACTTCTACAAATGGGCCTCATTCCATAGCTATGTTCAGTTGCCGGGCGCGATGTTTTTTTCGTTTACAGCCGCCAATGGCAGGCTCTACAGACGCGTTGAGAAGTTGGTCCCGGAGACCAATGTCATTGCTAGAGAACACGTTGAGAGGCGGGGCATCATGTGACATTTTGTCATGTCGTTGCCGGCAAAACGTCTCATTTTGATCATCATCGTCACTTTAAGAAATGGTGTTTGAATAGGTAGTCAATAGTAGTTTGATTGATATTGAAACAACATAGACGTTTTGAGCAATATTTACTACATGAATTATATAACAACATGTTAAATAGATTTAGATAGAAGCAAGATATACAGGTACTAATGCATTGTAACCATGATTGTTAATTCATTAGCACTGATGATTTACACTATATTTGTTTTTATCCATTACATTACTATAGCCAATATCACTCCATGAAATTTCACTTATATGCATACATAGATATGATAGCCCCTATTCTATTATGATATATTGCCATTGTATATATATATGTCTATCATTATTGACACTCCTCATCATTGGGGATATTCACTGCTACATCCCTAATACGTATTACATGGTTATTATTATCCTTATATGTAAGGTATTTATTATAGGCATAACATAACTTTGATCATATGCATATGTTTGTATGATAGAACTCCATGATATCAATACTGCCGAGCCGCTGGAGGTACCGTATCATAGCCATATTGTGCATAGCCCTTATATATTGTAGGTACCCTCCAGTAAACTAGCATAGCTATGGAAAATGATCCATTTATGGATGATTTACCTCTTGAACATGGTGGAGGCTACTTCGTAGCTTGGTTAGTTTACCAGAGGCTACTTCCAATCAGTACCTGACATGGCCGCTGAATCCACGTCCGCAGCAGTGGCGTCAGGCTCAGCGACGCAGAGTTGCTCCGTTTCGTGCAGGACCTGTCGCAGTCACAGGACTCGTCGGACATATCGGACGCCACGGCCCTGGGAGGCAGCTGGAGCTGCATGGCAGTGCTTAAAAACCCTGGTTGCACTGGTTGGTTCATGATTAGTTCGTCATTAGGAAACAAATCTATCAAAGTATGGGAATGTAAGCGGATATAAGTGAGAAGTGATGTTTTTTTTGTTCGGATTTAATGGGGGGTTCCGGGTTCACCATGAAACAAATGGCGATATAGCATGATATAGCTGTAGCTGATACATACAGTGGTGACAGGGGGTTTTGAAGACTGCTCGCCTGAACATGCTGACATGATGATGTAATCACATGTTTTAATTACTATTGTTTTGTGTTGTTTTATTGTGTTGTATTTATCATTTACCCTTTGGTTATTTAACATAGCTATGGAAAATCCCTATAAATGGAGGTTTTAGTGGGAAAATCATCTGTAAATGGGCCATTTTCCATAGCTATGTTAAATAACCAGAGGGTAAGTCATCCTGATTTATGGAAATTGTTGTTTGAACATGGGGAAAATATGGTGCTGGTATGTTTTTGGTGGATGTTTGGCCACAGCTGCGATGGCCTGAGGCAATGAGCAAGTCCAATGGCAGGACACTCTGAGAAAGGCTGGGCGGAGCGGGGTTGAAGGTGGGTGGTGCAAGTTGCTACTTTGCCAGTTACACTGTGTTTGGAGTATTTTCCTTGGCTGTCACAGAGTTAGCCGCCTGGGTCCCAATATGTCCCAATGCTTTCCCTCCAAGCTCGCAGGTCTTGTACCACATGCAGCAGGACTTGTCCGCTTCACAACAAGAGAACTGCTGCGAAGCTTTGCGAAATTTGATCGTCGACCAAGATAGCAGGCAAGAACCTGCCAAGTGGAGAGTCTTCCATGAACCATGAACTTCACAGGCTATGGAGAAATTTAGTATCCCAGATTTGGATGAACTATCTCTGAAACATTCTGAAACGATATGGTTTGTGATTTTGCAAGGCACTTCTGGGATCCTGCCTTTTGTAGTTGGCACTTGTGGTCACATCTATCCACTATAACACACATGAACGGAATGGACATATATGAGGTTTGTATCTAAACAGAGAGAGAGAGAGGGAGGGGGAGATGTGCGTGTGTGTGTGTGAGTGTAGGTGTGAGTATGTGTGTCCACTGTAAATGTTTAGATATATATATAAATGTACATGCGCATACCTATGTATATCATATATGTGGGTACTTACGTTAAGTTCCTTTTGCAATGCTTTGAGCATTTCAGAAGGGGAGATTAGGGGGCTGGGGGTTGGGGTGGGGGGAAGTTGTGCATGCATGTGGTACATCAAAGCATCTCCAAGGATAAGACAGTAAAGATGTGCGGCAGTATGCGTGGCTGGAAACACAATAGAAGTGTGGGACTTCACCCAAGCATCCCAATATAGTTAGATGTATATACGCTTACACATGTTTACATATTATACTTACATATGAATACATATGATATAATACACCAATCTTACCATATATATATATACACTGTATATACTTGGATAAAAAACATATGCCACATGTCATCATGTGATATAATACACCATATAAGAATACACTGCAGGTCCTTTGCCAGTGACTTGGGCGCCATAGAGTCGGTTCTGGCGGCCATGAAGGCCCTGGAGTCCAGTGGAATATGTGAAATATATATATATATATACATATATATGTATATGGGTATGTTATCTTATGTTATGTTATGTTATGTTATAATGGTTTCTATATTCAAGAAATGACATGTTACACCCAAGTTATGGCATGCAAATCTGAGCTGTGAGGATGTAAAACGAGGATTCTAATGCTCCAAAAGTCTAAACGTCGAAGAGACTTGAAATGCAGATGCGGAGGTCGAATCAGCTGTGGGCGGTCGATGCTCATGTTTGACCTGTGGAATTTGACTATTTGAGAAGATTTGATTTTAATGCCTTGAAGACTGCAAGGATGCGTTTTCTTTCTTTTTCATGATCAACTTGTAGATGGTTTATCCCCAAGAAAAATCCGGATTATCCATGTTTATCCCATTATAATCCCATTATTTACAGTGTTTTATAGCTACCAACAGTTGCCAAAGTAGGTGCAGGATTTCTTCCATCCTATGCCAGGCGCATAGCGATGCACCTGGTGTTCAAGGTGTGCGGAAGACGGTGTAGAATCAACTGGGTTTACCAGACGGGTAAACATACCAAAAGATGTGGAAAAACCCATGGGCTTCCGTTGGAAAATTATGAGAATGATCTATAAATAGTGTTTTTGTTTAACTGTTTTTTCCACATCTATGTTAGTTTACCCTAGGGTGAGCCTGAAAATGGGGTATACCGGTATACCACCCAATACATATTGCATTTGTAGTGGGGAAATGGTGATTAGCCACCAACGTTGAAATGACTATGGGGGTATATGGGGTACTGGCTTCTCTCGAGCGCTGATGGCTTGAAGAAATGGATCAAACATGGAAGGTTTCATGTGTTTCGTTGTGTCTAGGTGGCCCAATTTGATTCCATATGAGTCAGACCTACTCTTCCATATTCAATCTCTAATGAATGATAACCCCCAATATATTGAATAGTGATATATATTTCAATGTATGTTTCGGATGTTGATGGATTTTATGGGTCATGGTTAACCCAAATATTTTGCATAGTCATAACCCAAAAAAAACAAGAAATCAAGGTTTTCAGGCACGGTACCTGCTATATTAATAAGGCCAATTTTTTAGGGCGAAATTTCGACATGTCCCCAAGTTCTATATCCCATAGGATCCATGTATGGTATATATGCTAACATTGGGGGTATATTGATGGTAAATGTTACCATATATAGCATACATGGATCCTATGGGTATGGCTTTATACCATTTTAAATGGTGTACACTCCATTTTTTGGGGTTGTGAAATTCCCAGGTCATTGTGCTGGTACCTTAACGCATCTCGCGGCGGGCCTTCGTGAGCGACAACTGATCTTCAACCTCAATGGCCTGGACGTGGTGCCTGGACGGGGACCAAGGTTATGGAGGATTAAACCATAGAATAGGAGATTTATAGTTGGATGATGTTGGATGATAACATGGTTTTTCACCATATTAATCATATTAACCATATTAACCATATTAACCATATTAACCATATAATTCGGATATTGGATGATTATGATTTATAATACCCTTTATAATGACCTCACGTCGTGACGTCGCTGGAATGATGCTTGGAGTTTGGGAGATCCCCAGTGCTGCAAGGACCTCAGCCTTTTTGAAAGAGAGCCTGACTGTGGGGACTGTGGGAGTGCGCCTTTGTTGTTTAATTGTGGTTAATGTAGGTTACCCTCTGGTAAACTAACATTTAACTATGGAAAGATCCACCATGTTTTTCATGGGAAAATTCACTATAAATGGTGATGTTCCATAGTTATGTTAAATTACCAGAGGGGTAAGGTTTCACAAGCTAATTCATGTGTGGTTTGTGATCGGAAACGTGTTGAGGTTTTAAGACTAAGTCATATGCAGAAAAGTTGCACTCCCACAGTCCCCCGTTCTTTTTTTAAAGGGTTAGTGAGTGAAATATCATCAGTCAGCCAGAAGTGACCGTTTGGGCCTTTCGTTTACTTGTTGGCTGTTCAGTGGGGGTTACCCTTCTATTTCTGTCAACCAGTGCGCACAGAATACCTATGTTTGGGACGTAGAAAGGTGGAAAGGTTTGGTGAGAGTTTATATGGCCTTGTCTGAAAACAGGGATTACCATCAAAATGTCTCTATATATCTCTATATAATATATAAATAGAATATAAATAGGGAAGGTATATGGGGGAATGATGATTAAGCAACAGATTAATTCAGCACTACGCGCCCTTGTTGAGATGACCTGGCTACGCGAAACGAAATGTAGATATCAAAAAGCCATGAACACCCACCAGTTGTGCATATTTTATTATATTCAATTATATTATAGAGAGAGAGAAGACATGTCCTGAAACAAAAAAACAACTATAATAATTTTTGCGTGTATATGTATATATGGGTATGGATATGTATGTGTTTTTTAGCGTGTCACTTGTTCTGGAATATCTCAGTGCAAACCCTCTAGGGCCCCATGGTGGCAGGCAATATGCTCATGTTGTACCCTCTACTAACATAGCTATGGAAAATCACCATTTTTAATGGGTAAATGTGGGTATATCATCTATAAATTTAGCATTTTTTACAGCTCTGTGAGTTTACCAGAGGGTAAATACACCAACTTTTGGTCTTGTAAGTAGTGACTTTGTATTTGTGCATTTTGCAGGTAGTCAGTGGCATGCAGCAGCATGAAGACGCAAGCCTAGTTCAGTACAAGGCATTGGAAGCTTTCCACTGGAAAGCCAAGACTTCAGAATCAAAGTTGCAATTTGGGTATCATGAGTCAGGAGCCCCAAAAGGAAATGCAGTGGGTTCTTGTGGGTTCTCATTTCAAGTTCTTTTGACAACCCAAGGAAGCTAATCCTCAGCAGCCCCATGCAAAAATCATAGAGAAATAGAGAGTAGTGTGACGCAACTGGTGGTTTTGATTTCCTTCAAGCACGGCATTGGTACTCGTATGAGCAATCAAGAAGTGGTGTAGTGTTGGAACCAATTTCCAGCCCGCAGCTTCGTGCAGCTCGCTTTGGGCTCATAATCATAGTAGGCAGGTAGTCAGACATTGATACTGGGCTGACCCGACATTGTTATTGACATGATGGCATCAGGAGCCCGGGGAGTGATGGCTTTTTCGTGGTTCGGCATCGAGCAAGCCTAGACATGCCGACATCCTCAGTATGAAGCTAAATGCTACGGTCATCCCCAATATGGATATGGGTCTATATTCAATATACCTGAATCTTACCCATGATGACAAATGGCCATAGAAAACATGTAAGGACCTGACGTCAACTTACATGGTTAAGATGGATTAAGATGTACCATACAAATGACCATTGTAAATGGTGAGATATGCCCCTTTGTAGGAGCTATGACGAATGGTTCAATATATAAGATTATATAAGTATTAAGGTCAAGGACTATCAATTGGACCCAAGTGGCCGGTGGAGCCAGCTGGACATCATGAATTCTGCATATGATTCCCCATGTGTTCAGCATGGATGGATTTATCATGATTTATCATGATTTATCTCATTTATCATGATTTATTATCTCATTTAATGTCTCCATGTTTTGCCATGTTTTGCCCCTGCTGTTCAAGGTCCGCACGTGGGATCCCTGGTGCAGGACCCTTCACTTCTCGATTGGGATCCCTGACTCCTCCATGCAAACCGAGCGAGCCCATCTTCGTTGATGAGCCACTGCCGGACCTCCCTGTCACAAGTCCCTTGCACGAATTGGACTACGAATGATGTTTCGAAGAAAATGGCTGCAGAATGTGAGCTGAATTGTGTTTAATGATTAAGATATTATATTAAGATCATTTAAGGAGATATATAAGGAGATACAGTATGAAAGGAGAATGGTGGAGATTTGGATCCACTTTAATCTTGCCTCAGCCTGGCAGGTTTGAAGCCACCTAAGATTTGTGGCTTGGAACCCGCTGGCGAAGGCCGTGGACGGATCTCTTTTCACTATGGATCCACGATTGGTGGAGTTACCCTCAAAAATGCTGATAAATAGCGATAAATACTGATAAATATGATAAATAGTGAGGGCGATGGAGAGAGAGATAGAGAGAGAGAGAGAGAGACAGAAAGAGAGAGAGAGAGAGAGTGAGTGAGTGAGTGAGTGAGTGAGTGAGTGATAGATAGTCATGTTGAAATTGGTATCCCGTCTGTCAATTGGGAGATTGTTAATCCCGGGATAACATCATGACGAGCTGACCATCTGTCAATGTCTTACAGTAACCATGGCTTATGGCTTGATGGTGGTGCAGCAGATGAAGGCTCATTATGGGTATGCAAGTTCGCTGTTCGACCAACAAACATAAACATAAATCAATATAAATCAATAAAAATATTTTAACATGAATATATGAATTGTCTTTCCAACTGAACACTAATGGTTTTGCACAAGACTTAGCACAGGTGATGCAACATGGTGCAACTATCATTTGTGTTGGCTTCTCCCACGGTATTTGGAGGCATTTTTGGTATTTTTTGGTCTGACCTATTTGACCCGGCCATCAGTGACCGAGCCGCTCCAGGACGGGCAGTGAAAAGCTTTGAGGGTTACTTCATTGTGGGCAATATCCAGGATGGCCTCAAATCTCCTCGCCATTCCTATCACCAGTGGCAGGTCCCTGATGCCCCTTGGTTGCTTTGGGTTTTTTCACACTTCGCTGTTGAAAATGGTCCATGTATGGACGATTTAGCGTATTTTGCTATTAAACATTAGGATTTTCCATAGTTGAGTAGCTAAATCATCCATTTAGCTATTATATTTTCCCGTGATTTACCTTATGTTAAATTACTGGAGGGCCCTACAAATGTCATCCCATGTCATCCCGCTGACCTGAGGACATCCCAGACGATGTGGCAATTGCGCCCAATCGTTCCTTGGTTCGGCCCATGCAAAGCTGTGTGCGAATTACCTGAATGACCTACCACTGAAATATGTAAAACATGACCAAGAAACTTATGACTGCGATCCTAGGTCTATAAATGTCTCTCAAGTATAAGTATATACATGTTAGTAAGTGCATGTATTTTTTAGCAGCCCCTTTTTCGGTTTTGCTTTTACGCATCTCCAATTGGCAGCTGGTGTGCGACAACTGCAAGGCTTGCTCCATGAGATCAAACACCGACAATTTCAGGACTTCCTGGAAGAGATGCTTGGCCTTGCTTGGCTGCGATCGGTAAGCCCGCAAAAACGATGAAAATCGGTTGGTTCCAGGATGGTTCCAGGAGAATAGATTGACTTTCCCATATTTTCGAGGAATCCAACTTTTCTATCCTTTTTGGGGGTTGCGGGGTTGCTACAAAAAAACTAAATCCATCTAAATTCTGAAGAGTTCCAAAGAATTAACAATAGAGTTTAGTCTTTAAGCACTGGCTTCGCGGCTTCCCCATGAGGGTTCGGTCCTCCCATAAACTCGAGATTTAATATGTTCTAGACTTTCAGGTTGAGGATTTCCATGTGGAAACCCTATTCCTGACGTCCCCGACAGCTATTGGGTCCTTGTTGTGATGCTGACTACTTATGAGGATTGATTGTTCACTGCATGGTCATGCCATGTGCATCTCGTATATAGACACAGATTGAAAGTAGACGAAATACACGCAGAGGATATTCTTTCACCGGTTGATTTTTTGGTTGGCGTCATGAAGAGACTGAAACCCGATAATTGAGCACGCAGGCAACATCACACACATGTATCAGAGGTGTGTGGTGCCTGTAAATGCATCCAGTTGTAGAGTGCGCTGCGTTGTGATACAGGACATGCATGGTACCTAATACAGGTAGCCTCGACTGCCGCAGTGCAGGCGCCTTGGGTCAAAAGCTAACGCGTTTAACATTGGTAGCGGAGCTGTCTTACGAAGCTCCAGCTGAGCCTTTGGAGGTGCCCAAACGCTGGTTGCCGGGAGGAGCATGGTCTGAGGAAGATTTTATGCATGTTGTTTTTTAAGGGGCTGTGTGCAAACTCCCAGTAGCGGATGGTGGTTGCTTGTGATAGTTGCTGAAGTTCAGCCAGGGCAAACGGGTTGAATTTGGTGGAACCCAACGAGGATTTCTCTACTGTTGTGACATGCAAAGATACGACAGCAAGACTTGAAAAGACATCATGCCGCACAGGTGTGAAAAAAAGAATCTCCTGTTACGGAAGGAGACAGATCACAGCGTGGAAGCGTGGTCGGTGGACTTGCCTGAGTGGCAAGACAGGCAAGACCAGATTTGTCGTACAAGGTGCCAAAGTTGCAGTCATGATGCAACAACGCAAATTACCAGAGGTTAAGCAAAGCAACATCCGGACCATGGACTGGTATACAGATCAGTTGCAGCCGACTGGAAGAGCATGATGCTTGCCATGGTATCTGACGCATCATGGAGCAATGAGACAGAATACCGCAAGGAAAACAACAGAAACACAGAGGTCAAAGGGCACGCATAACCATTTTGGCAAGCCCAGATTTAATTTGACAAGTTTCCACATATATATAATTAGTTGGCAATCAACTATAATTCGAAGGGTGTGCCGCAACACACTCCAAGCAGAGACATGTGCAATGAGTTCAGCTGTCGAAGAAGGATTGGGATTCAGAGCTATCCTGACGGACATCCACCGTAGCTTAGAATCAGTGCATCACTAGAGCGGAAGACCAGGTCATGGGACATCACGCGACATATATGGCTGACAGATTGGAAATCACTTGAAGATCATGTGAGAGGCAATAGTCTTGGAAAGGTAGACGGCAAGAGACTGTCAATATATCTCACAGGTCTGAGACAGCTACTATGGCTACTATGGTTCGACGAAAACAACGAAGGACTTGATGCACTCAAGGACGGATTGCCCGACGAAATCCGATGGATAAACAAGTCTATCATGCTGGTGGACGTGCTGACGAAGGACATGAATTCAAACGATATGAGAAGAATCATGAAAGACTCAATGGAGCATTGGGGCCACAGCAGAATCATAAGTCACAAAGATGGCAAAACAGAAATATCGCAAGCCAGGGGAAAAGCAGCAGCTGAGAGAAGCCGCACAGGAAGATCAGGAAGAAGAACACATGAGAGCCAGACTGGAAGTGTATCACACGACCAGAATTACAGGTGTAAATGCATCCAGAAAGGGCGCAGTGTTGTGATACACGGCGCGCACGGCACCTAATACAGGTAATCTCGGCTGCCGCAGGCACCTTGAATCAAAAGCTAACTCGCTTAACACGCATGTATCAGGCCGTGGGATTTTGTTTATCTCGGAGGTGATTGCAAGTTTTTAGGTAAATAAGTGCCCCAGACATACAAGGGTGCGGTCCAAACTGCACAGATTTAAAGATATTTATATATATTTCTTCAGGCGTGCGCATGGATGCATGTGGTGATCGATTTAAAGGTCCTTGTAAGGATTTTTAATTGCGAAAGCCGTGCATGTTATGTTGGAAACCCTCGCGAAAGTTTTTTCGAGTTCGCGAAAGTAATTTTTTTTCGCGAAAGTTTTGCGAAAGTTGGATATTATATCATTATGTAAAGGGCTGCCACCCACTGCCGCCCCGGGTCCGGCAGGAGAAGGGCACTAGAGAATTTCGGTTTGGTTCTGGTTCAGTTCCCTGTGTGGTGGTGCTTGTGGATAATCACACCCTTCATATATAGGTAGCAGCCGAGCTTCCACAGGCGAGGCTTCGCGACAGCCAAACGCCATGGTCCTGAAGCACATCCTTGCACCTGCCGCTGTCACTGCCTAATGATGCTTTTTGAAGTCTCAAGAAACAAGCTCCAAATGCAGCAGGTAAGTTTCCAAAAGTGAGGCTTTGCGAGAGCCAAACACCAAGGCCCCTGGTGTTCGCTTTTCCTTCAATCAATGCACCCCCTGCTGACGGCCGGGGTCTCTGTGAATAGGGATATTTTCGCGAAAGTTCCGCGAAAGTTATGCGAAAGAGCGGGCGAAAGTCAAAGTGCATGTTGAAGGGGGTGGGCCAGTAAACCTCGCCAAAAAACCTAGTCAGCTACAATCTGCCCTGAGAAGGGATTCCGTGATGCTGCTAGCTGCACGTTTAAAAGGCTATCAAGAAGTGATCCGTGATTCTCTGGCGTAATTTGGCAGGCGGTGAACGAATCTTCATAAGAGGTGTTGTTGGCCAACATAGGCCCCGCGAAAGATAAACATGGAGTTCGCGAAAGTTTCGCGAAAGTATTTTTTTTATTCGCGAAAATGGCCGTTCCCGGATAAAGGAATTTTGATCAAAACCCATGTGTATATATATATACTTGTGTGTGTGTGTTTCAATTGGTTTCCAAAGCATTTGGGTTTATCCTCAACGTATTTCCTTCAACGTATTGAAATGCCAGATTCTGGCTGCCCCATTTTCAGGAAAATCTACGGCCAACCTCGCAAGTTCAAGAAGGACGTGACCACTGTGCCCTGAGGGATATCGGGCCCATGCTGAAATATTCAGGGGATGTTCAGGCTGTGGATGAAGATAGTTGTGGATTACCTGCCAATACTGTTTTGTTGAACCCCTATTACCTGGGGCAGCCGAGCTGCATGATTGTTTTGGATCTGCATTCGCTTGCCTTCGTAATTTCCAGGAACCCTGCGCGTGCAGGGCACTCGAGACCCCTACTCCACCTTTTCCGCAACCACTTGATTGTCTTGGCAAAGGGTTCGCAAATCAATTCGGGAGTGCAAAAGTAGATTGCACGCACGAAACCGATGTACAAATGAGATTCTGCATACTATATATGTATGCCGTGTGCCTGTATATCTTATTGCACCATATACGCTACCGCCCTCCACCGCGAAAAACAGCCATAATATCTCCGAATTTGGAAAGGTGCATTGCATGTGTGAAAGTGGCAAGCGTAGGAGTGCAAACATATGGGCAAGAGCACAAAGAACAGACATAGTCACACTTTGGATTTGCGAAGGTGGCAGGAGGAGCAAGACCGGACATGTTCACAATTTGAAACAATGCACTGAATTTGCGAAGGTGGCAGCGTCGTAGCAAGACCATATATAATGACAATTTTTGACCTTGACCATCCTTGACCCAATGTAGGGAGAAGACGTTCTCAAGATACTGGTTGCGCTGGCTAAGCAACAGGTTGATGCTACCAGGCAAACTCTTTGACAGAATGCAGTTTTGTTTTAAACAACCGTTGCATTCCAAAAAACACTTTGATACATTGTATCTCTTTGAATCTTGGATCACGATTACTCCCCACAAAGATGGCACCCTTTCCTGAAGCAGCTGTGCACATTTTGAAGGCCTCTTTGAAATTTATTTAAGCGCTGACGCGCGACAGCCGGCCAGGGGCCCAACTATGTTGGCCCATCTTGTGGCTATATGTTGGCCTATGTTGGCGTATGTTGGCCTATCTTGCGGGCAACGTGGGCCCATCTTGTGGCTATGTTGGCCTATGTTTGCCTCATGTTGGCCCATGTTGAGCCAAAAGATCCGAAAAATGGGAACAGCAAAAAAACGCTGTAAAACGCAGGATATTTTGATGGTCGGCGGGCTATCTTGGGGCTATGTTGGCCCATCTTGGGGCTATGTTGGCCTATCTTGAGAGCAATGTGGGCCCATCTTGGGGCTATGTTGGCCCATCTTGGGGCCATGTTGGCCCATCTTGGGGCTATGTTGGCCCATCTTGGGGGCTATGTTGCCCCATCTCGGGGCTATGTTCGCCCATCTTGAGGCCTATGTTGGCCCATGTTGACCCATCTTAAACCACAAGATCCGAAAAATGGGAAAAATGCGACGAGCACAAAACACCGTAAAACGCGGGACTTTTTGGCCGGACCGACTCTCCTGCGGCAGGGGCGGCGGCCCCTCTCTCCTACGGCTAGCTGGCTGCTGCTGCTGCTGCCGCTGCTGCTGCTGCTGCTGGTGTTGTTGTTGTTGTTGTTGTTCTTGTTGTTCTTGTTGTTGCTCTGGCTGCTGGCTCCTGGCTGCTGACTGCTGGCTGCGTGTTACCTGCTTACTGGATGCTGGCTAGCTGGCTGCTGGCTCCTGGCTGCTGCTTAATGGCTGCTGGCTAGCTGGCTGCTGGCTCCTGACTGCTGCTTACTAACTGCTGGCTAGCTGGCTGCTGGCTCCTGGATACTAGGCGGTAGTAATAGCAGTGCGGTACCTCTTCTTCCCTTACGCGCTCCCCCTTGCGTCGGCCGGGGTCGGCGGATTATTGCTGCGTTTGTTGGAGGTTCCTCACGTTCCTTTTTAGAATGATGGCACGCTGCCTTAAGAAACCTCGCGCTCTTTTCAAGAAATGCTATTCCCTGGTAGGGTGAAGTCCAAAACAAAAACATTGGCTGGGGTGTGGTGGGGTAATAACGTTCGGTTCGGCTTCTACTCCATAGTAAGTGTTCTTGCACTTCCACACGTACGCCATGCTACGCTGCTGCATGTTCTCTTGCACTTCCACACATACGTCACGCTACGCTGCTGGATGTGCTGTTTTCACTTCCACACATACATAATGCTACGCTGCTGCATGTGCTCTTGCACTTCCACACGTCATGCTACCCTGCTGGATGTTCCCTTCCACTTCCACACATGTCATGCTACGCTGCTGGGTGTTCTCTTGCACTTCCACACCTACGTCATGCTACGCTGCTGCGTGTTCTCTTGCATTCCACGCATACGTCATGCTACGCTGCTGGATGTGCTCTTGCATTTCCACACATACGTCATGCTACGCTGCTGGATGTGCTCTTGCACTTCCACACGTACGTCATGCGACGCTGCTGGGTTTCCTCTTACATACGTCAGGCTACGTTGCTGGATGTTCTCTTGCACTTCCACACATATAGTCATGCTACGCTGCTGAATGTGCTCTTGCACTTCCGCACGTACGACATGCTACGCTGCTGGATGTTCTCTTGCATTCCACACATACGTCATGCTACGCTGCTGAATGTGCTCTTGCACTTCCGCACGTACGTCATGCTTCGCTGCTGGATGTGCTCTTGCACTTCCACACATAAGTCATGCTACGCTGCTGTATGTTCTCCTGTGCTTTCACACGTACGTCATATGTGTAAATCTCTTGTACTTCCAACTTTGTGCTTGAAACCAACACAGGAACTTTTCGGCGAAACCCTCGGGGAAGCTTCGTGCTTGTAAAACACGCGGTTTTTTCACTTTTGAGGTCAGAAAATTATTCCCGAAAAAAACAATGTGCAAAGTACTACAGCTTCGGACATTTCCATCATCTTCCTGGGGCTGTGTGATGTCATCACCGACACGGCCTCCGACAGACCTTGTTACCGTGCTATTTCAAAAGAGCAATGCATCCCATTGAAAACATATACTGAAGTAGCGCTGCGCTGTTTCAGAGGAATGTTCCACCAGGTTTTCGTCCTTTCCCAAAGTACTGCGCCTTTGAAAGGTTCTTTTTAATATCATTGCATCTAATGTGGGCAAAACAATAATAAACCACCCCCAAATCACCATAAATAGGTGGTATATACCATTCCCACATGAATGGTTTATTATAGTTTTACCTGCATTAGTGAAGTATTGCTTCTAAGAAGTACTACTTGGCCCGATCCAAGATCCGAGATCCAAGATTCTCTCCAAAACTTTGGGAAATCTCCGATCTTGGGTCAGGTACTGTACCTCCTAGCACCTGCTTACGCCAGAGTCAAATGGTTAAAGTCAACATTTCAGATGTTTAAAGTTTAAACAAACCTTTGATACTCTTTCAAGACTCATAGAATCTTGTAGCGGGATGTTGCCCCACTTGGATATTGGGAATATCGCCCCCAACTACTGAAGTAAATCTATTTATTTATATCTATAATATATCTATGTATGCAATTAATGCATGTATGTGTATATACATACATGTAACATGTATATATATATATACATATGTTTATATATATATATATATGTTCATATTATTTAAATTATTTATATAGATATATACAGATAGGTGTGGAAGTCCATTTGTTTTGTCCCCAACCGGCCAGGAGATTGAGCTCCACAGACGTATTTTGAACGTGTCTGAGGGTCCCGGTCGACAAATTTCGGCCCCTTGAGCTGCCAGCGTGCTGGCGGGAACTATGGGGTTCGCGGAATTGGTTGGCCGCCCGGGCCGACGTTTTTCCAGTTGCGTGCTGGTCTCCTCTAAACAAACGCCGAGGTTGGGGGAAAAATGATGAAAAATGGGGAAAGGGTCAGTTTGCCTTCGAAAAATTATTCGACAGGACCGTGTGATGGAGTGACCCACCCCAATTGCAAACGACTTGATTCTCTGGATCAGCGCAAGTGGCTGGGAAATACGTTCGCCTTAGCAACTGGAGTTGCGCGCTGTAGATATTATTTAAGCCAGAAACTTGTGAGTGAGGCAGGACTTGGCACGGCCGATCTATGCCGATTTGGGGATATTATTGTTTTTGCTTGATAATTTGTTTATATAGTTGGGTTGAGCGATCCTGCAGGGCCTTGGAGGCCATCATTGTTGTACGAAAGTTTCCTTCTCCATGAAGTCATGCGTGAGTTTGGTGTACCGTTCATGGTGAATTGGAATAGGGTGGCCTGGGGCATAGCAAGGGAATCATCCATCATCTATTTTTTGGCAACCACATTTCCAATCTCAGCGATGGAGAGAAGGGATCTCCTTTGTTTCAAAAAAACAGGCTGCGCAAGGGGACTGCCTTTAGCAGCAGCTCATGAAGTTTCTGAGGCTGCTATTTGCACACACAAAATACAAAATCGGGATTATTTTTCAACAGTGGTCATTTAATTGTCGTACGATGTCAACATGACCCCTCCTGCTGCCACCAAGGGTGGCTGTGGCGTAACAAAAAGTGGGCACACGTTTCAGTATGTGTGGCCGAAAACCACAGCAGGACAAGGGCATGCGGGCTTTGTTACATGTTAAAACTGCCTGCAACGTTTGAAGCTGTATCGGACCTCCTTTAGGAGGTGGATCTGAATTCATCTCCCGTTGATCAAAGGACTGGAGAAATGATGCCAGAAGTGAGTTAGCCTAAACCTTTGGTTCCCCCAGCATCCCCAGCCACTTGTAGGCCAATCATGGGATGGTATGAATAAGCGTTTGTGTTTTGTATAGCTTGATTGCAAGTGATTGCAACCTGAACTGAAACCCCTATGATTCCCTATGACTACATACTTTAAGCAGAATTACCATATGCATCAATATATACATTTCTCTGCAGGTGCCTATGTGTATATGTACATTCTGCAAGAAACAATGGTGTTAATGTTGAGGTGTTTATTCTTGTTTCAGTCACTATTCTGCTTTGTATATCGAACTCAGGGACCTCGCAATGAACAGGACAACAGTTTTGTGACTCTTCACCGGCCCTGTTTGCAAATCCTGTTTTTAATGCTCACAAGTCCCCTCATCAAAAAGCTTTGTGAGTGCATGTGCTTCATGTGGCAAAGAAAACACGAAGCCATTCCCAAGTTACCACAGTTTACCATTTCGGGGTACTAACTACATGGTAAGCGGCTCACAGAACGCCGCCTGTTTTTCCAACCGTGGCGAGTTCATTTTGCATGTGTTTTCTCAAGGATTTGTGTTTTTGTTTTTACTCTGTTAAATCCTTCGACAAACTACTTGTTTTCATTTTTTTGTGTCAAACTTTCAAGTCTTTGTCTCACATGCGTTTCAGGACTTGAAGAAGTGAAGAGCGTAGCATCAAGAGCGTGTCGGAAGGTACTTGAAGAAGTGAAGAGCGTAGCATCAAGAGCATGTTGGAAGGTACTTCAAGAAGTAAAGAGCGTAGCATCAAGAGCGTGTTGGAAGGTACTTACTTGAAGAAGTGAAGAGCGTAGCATCAAGAGCGTGCTGGAAGGTACTTGAAGAAGTAAAGAGCGTAGCATCAAGAGCGTGTTAGAAGCAGTGAACAAGACGTGACTACCCACCCCACCCCAAACCACACCACCCCACAAGAAGTGAAGAGCGTAGCAGCAAGAGCGTGTTTGAAGCAGTGTGAACAAGACGTTATTACCCACCCCACCCCACCCCACCGCACCCCACAGGCACGAAAGCACACGAAAGCTGGCGGCGTTCTACGAGCCGCAAGCCAACTACATGTACTAACTATATAAATTATATATATATATAATTATATATACCTGCACCGCCCAGTGGTACAGATAAATGTGTACTTTTAGGGTGTTTGGTACACTTTTTTGGTAAACGGGCAGATTCTGAAAGCAACCTCATTTTCGAGCACATTTTTTTGAAGGTAACTGTGTGGACATATTTTTCCAAGTGGCTAATAATGGCTATGTTTTGTGCCGTTTTCAGTTTTGCCAGCCCCTTCCCAACTGGTGCTCAAACATATACGTCTAAATCAGCCCTGTTGGCAAGCATGTGGCTGGGTTTGAAGCCTAGTTGGCCTATATAGTTGCTTTCACAATGTGTTTGTTGAAAGATGACATGGGCACAGATGATGTGACCAACATGCAGCTATTAATCTGTGCCAAATATCCCCATACCCCGTATATAGCTTTACCATGATTTACTTCAATAAAAAAGCAAGGCTGCTGCGCACGATATTGAAGACGTTCTTGTTTCCATGCATGACTGGATGCATGACTTATTTTTCAGATGGTTGCATCTGATTCCTCCTCCAGGATAAAAATCGGAAATTTTCCGCTCGCTGTGAAATGTTTGAAGCCCTGCCCATGGGTAACTCATGGCACGACGCACAAGTGCTTGATGCATGGGACTATATGTGGAAACACCTCATGGCAAAAGTAGCCGGCCTGTGGCATGGCTGTGCATGACAAAGTTTGACCGTGAACTCTGGGAAACACGGTCAGGTTGACGTTTGCTTGATGAAAAATGGCGCCTTGCATTAGGTCGGTTTTGACATGCATGATGTTGACATTTTGCGCCTGATATTATCCAAGGGTCTTGCGCGAAACGGGCGCGAAAACGCGCGAAACGGGCGCAAAAAGGCGCGAAACGGGCGCGAAAAAAAAAGTGTACCACTTGACCCTCTTGTTTTGACCGTCACGACGTGTCGCGTGTTTTTGAAAACTCTTTTTACCATGGTCCGAACAGAAGGCATAGTCCGAAGAGAAGGCGCCGCCATGTGGTCTTGAGCTTGTGGGGGGCATATTGTTTCAGTCTGAGCCTAGCCAGTTCTTCCATCGCACCGTTTGGTTCATGGAATGGCTTCATTTCCGTTTTACTTGGACTCCCGGTGCGCATGTTTCTGGATTTTGCCGCGTGTAGTGTTCATCTTATATATGTTATGTATTTGCTTGTTGTGACTGTGGTGTTTTCGTGTTGAATGTTGAATGTTGAACGCCCTGCATGAGGATTCTTCGTGTGAAAAAAAATGCCCGACTGTTGATGTGATGTTGTGAAAATTGCGCTATAGCTGAAGGTTGTTTGCTGGAGGTATCTTGGCCATTCTTGGCCTATGAAAAACATACGTGATGTTGAGGTGGATACTTTAGATTTACCCTGTCCAAAGCTCGGTTGTTTACATGTGCTGCGATGCAACCCATGTTGTCAGGCGTGGCTGTTCGAGGTCGTATTTGGCATGCTGCACATGCATTAGCGCGTAACAAAAGTGTCCTATCGAGCCTTTGGGGAAAGAATCAGGTTGATTACTATGGAGAGCCACGGAACTTCGGACACCTTTTTTTTTCAGACCCTTAAACGGGCACATTTTTTGAAATCGGGCAGAAAAAAATGGTGCACATTTTTGTGTACCAATGGGAGGTTCAGGTATATATAGGATATACGGGTTTATACGGTTTTACCAGGTCATGCCCAAGAACTTGGCTTCGTGATGGGATTTACCATGGGATTTACCATGAATTTATTTCTTGCTGTGGCCTCTATGGCAATGGCAACATCACCAGTCCACTGAGCTCGAACGGGCCGACCCAGCCTTGCAGCACGAGGGGCAAGGTGGCTGAGACGAAACTGACTCTGTGACGTCAGTTTGGGCGCTGTGATGATTGTGATGTGCGATAAATATAACGGACTTCCGAGTTGGTTGATGATGAATTTGTTTGCGCAGTTTGTTTTTTTAAGTCACTACATGTCAGACAACCCTTGTGGCATCTTGTGCCTTTGGTGGTTTTTATCCACCTTGATTTTGCCAAAAGGATGCCCAATGGTTATGTTGATCCAACAAGTCCAAACTGATGATGGCTGCCTAAGAAATCCTGGCGCTTTCACACTGCGTTCTGTCTGGCCTAGGGCAACTTAGTGCGTAATAATTCTTTGCAACCCACGTGAGCAGTTTTGAAAATTGGGCTGGCTCAGATAAGGCTGGTGCTGCTAACATCTGCTAACTCTCCAACATTGCTCACAGCTAGAGTCTAGACATGCGCTCTGTGTCTGAAAGTAGGGCACAGGCCCAAAATATCAACATATAATGTAGTTTCTCATTATAATTGTCCATATGTTTCCCGTTGAAATTCCCCAATTGTTGGGTTGTTGGGGTGGGGCATACCCCAATGATCCCCATGATCTACATCTAAACTGCTCATTTGTCCTCGTGACTTTTCCTCATTCCTCGACGATGCGGCATTCCTGGCTGCCCGTCGGGGGATTGACGTTTAAAGATTTTGCGGTCTACCTCAAAGGACCCAGGTGTGTGCACACACTTGCAGACATGACAGCCAGATTTTCGGCCTTCGAATCATTTCCATGATATTTCCATGATATTTCCATGATATTTCCATTATATATCATTATAATGTACTGTACTGTAGATAGAATGTGGGATGTTCAACTTGTTCAACCATCCCTTTCTAGTCAAGATTGTTTGGACATTTCCACCATCTACTCGTACGTGTAGTGTTGTCAAAGCGGTCATATCGATGCGTCGGCACCTGGCTCCATTGAGACTAGGTCAATGTTGGTCAAATCCAGCGATGAGTCGGGCCCACATCCACAGGGTGGCCATTGCATCCAAGATCTCCCAGTTTAATTCCCCAAACAGTATGTCCACACTGAGGGGTTCTTACGGTAGGAGCTAAATAGGGCCGGGGTTAGATCAGGGTACGCTCTTTAGTCTGCGCAGGCTCGTACAAGATGGGGACCTAGGTTTTGGCTCTTGCTCGTCTTGAGAGCTATGTCCATTTCGTGCGGCAGGCGTGGGACATCCGGGACATCTTGAGGTCTGGAACGGCGTTTTGCTTTTAGCTGCGGTTGCGCGCGGTCTCTGCCGCCGAGAAGTTTGCTGTGATATGTACATTGGTCTGATGTCGAGGTTGCCTCAGCTGCTGCCCGGAACGAGGCGTTTGTGGTTGCACGGCGGAATGCTTTGCCCTTGTTGGATGGACCTTTGGTGGCGGAAGTCATGGCAAAACGTTTTGCATCGTTTTGCCATGACTTCCGCCACCAAAGGTCCGCACCTTTCACATCTGTCTTGGGGTTGTGTGATATATCATATCCCATACGATCCATGTATGCTATATAATATATGGTAACATTTACCATCAATATACCCCTAATGTTAGCATATATATATATATACATATATATATATATTTATTTATACCATACATGGATCCTATGGGTATACTTTCTTACATCCCAGTTACAAGGCCTGCTTGCGAACCAACCTGGATGACCATGTCACTGCGGCTGCGCGCGTCACTTGCGAACCAACTGCCCCGAACCCTGCGGAAAAATTCCAAAACATTGATTTCGATGTCTCCTGTACTCATACACACATTCTACTCATATACACCTTCTCCACACTGTTTGGGGTCTCTTGCCGGTGTAGTTGTTTTATTGGCTGTAACTGCTGAATGTCAATATAGATACGTCATGGAATGTTGAAGTCATATTCCTTGTTGTTTGTTTTTGAGGGTCCAATGTTCAATGAGCAGCTCGCAAACCACATCATTCCTTCTCAGGCCGCAATTTATGATGTTTGCAGTGGTTGTTTTCGGTACAGTAAGACAGCAATCATCAAAAACGCATCATACCAGTCACTGCCAGCAGCATATGCTGGCCTGGACCCCATAATTTTCCATAATTCATTTGCCACACACGGTCCTCAAACTATTCTGCTACATTTGACCAACTGGTTCAGGGCAATAGAGTTGCCGGTGAAGTTGTGCTCGGGCAACACTTCGGACATGCTGCAAAATACTCACAAACAAATGCAAACCCGTCTATAGGCTATATGTCCCAACCAAGGTAAAAAAAAATACATCTTGAGGGATGGAAAGGCGCTACAAATAGACGCTGTTCGATCCAACCAAACGCATCAAACGCTCTTGAATCGTTCTCCTAGTTGCGATGACAAGGGATGCCTGACCATGCATTGCGTACCTTTAAATTTGAAATTTGGAGACTCGTGCTCATCAGGCCTACCCGCAATCAGGAGTGGCAATGAAAATTCCCTATAAATTATTTAAATGAATGTTTTATAAAATATGGGTTTAAATATGGTTGTATGGAAAAACAAACGGTGGTTTTTCCAGCAAACCATGTTTGATGACTAGAGAATTTTATTCTAGGTTTTTTGTGGTTTTCTTTAGGCTCAGCTGTCTGCCCACCCAACTGATAGCAGACATGAAGTGGACCATGCTGAAATCAAATCCCATCAATGTGGCACAGCCAATGCCATAAACCTACTATTTGGGAAAAAAATGTCAACCCAACCATTCACGTTGGGTTTCCCACATTGAACTCAGATAAAATCCTTGCACGGCAGCTAGCACAATCCACAGTGCAGTTGCCTGAGTACGTCGATTCACTTGCCCTGGTTGGAACCCAGCGGACAAAAACCGTCTCTATGGTGCGCGTTTGGGCGCTTGAGACATTGACAGATGTCAAGTCGAAGTCACGGAAGCCAGTGACTCTCCCACCGCACACCACGCAGGGTGCCCTGCTGCCGTTGTACAGTGGCACAGGCCCACCGCGACAATATATGGACTTTTTTTTTAAACGCCATCCATGGGAGCTGCCGTAGAACCGGCACGTGCCATGACTCTGTGTTTCAACACCTGTGCTTCTGCGACCTGAACCACGCGAGCTAGTAAACAGCTCTTGGGCTGACGGATGCTGAGGGATTTGAAGCGAGCTTCCAGGAGTGTGGCTGGCAGTTTTTTTGGATAGACTTCTTGGAGTACATCCCATTACTGACAGTTGTGATCGCATCTTCACACCTTCACAATCCTTCACAGTTCTTCTGATCTTGGGAGGTTCTGCAAATCGCATGGCTAAGCCTGCGCTATCCTCGATATGTGAAGCCTTACGGCGCCTTACGGCCTCTCACTATGGTGGTGGTGAATCATCTAATTGTGCCATATTGTCCACATTGTCCCTATTGTTCTCACTGAACTGCATAATATGCACTCCAAATCCCTTAAGTTTGCAAAGGATTTATGTTTGAAGCGGCGGCGTGAAGTTGAAGCCCTCCCTGCTGAAGCTTTCAGAGCCAGATGGCAAGAACATGAGGTGGATTGCATGTATATTATATTTTATTTGCACATGCATCCTGCACTAATATCCCATGGTTTGAAAGTTTGTTTGTCCCACATGGTCCACAAAATGTTTGAGCGGTCCTACGAAACCTCAGAATTCGAGTTTGTACATAGACGAATACCATCAAAGAGCTCTTTAAAATTCTTGGAATAGTACCAGGACTTAAGCAAACAAATTAAAAATATAGTTGTTTTGTTTCTTTCAGGAAGAGTGTTAAAGTCCACCTTTTGTTATCCACTATTTGTTTTTGATCAAATTATGTTGCTCTTTGACTATGGCAGCAGGGCTTCAAAATCGGTGGACTTTTTTGCTTTTTTGGAACACCCAGGAGGTTCCTGCCTGCAGCTCCTGCGATAAGCAGTGGCTCGGTGGCTCCCGTGCCCCCTTTGCTCAAGGTAAGTTAGTGATATAGTCACATTTATCCTATATCCATATTGTATCTATATTTCTATAATTATATAGATATAATAGTATATTGTGTGTATATATACATATATATCCCGCCGGGTCGGGAATGGAACGTGTAGGCGTTAGCAATTCACTTCTCGGCACTTATGACCAACACTGGGATTTACCAGTGATTTTGCCTCTGACGATGATGCAAAATGTATAATCCTGGTTGTGTTTTCGTTTTTTTTTGTTTTTACCTCAGCGGCAAGCAAATTTTGTCAAAATGCCGTACCTCCACGGATGCATCTCTGAGAGCCGATGTGGCTATTTCCACAGCGGCGTGTGTTTTTTACTCGCTGACTTGTCTTGCCTACAATGATACAACTTGGCCACTTGAGTGCCACACAGTTGAAACAAGTCATCATGCTCAGCATGTGTGAATCTCCATTGCCAACTGCGGATACGCAAAGGTATCTGTTTTGACTGAGAGCTGAGGGACTTTGGAATATGAGTTTTCATTTGCTTCCAGCAGCTGTCAACGGTGCCTGTGTGAACACTCAAGGCAGCTCAAGGCTCTGTTTCGAAATCTTTCTGTGCGTTGGAATTCCCCAGCACTATGGTTTACAAAGAAATGTTTCGCACGGCACTCTTTTGCTACCTTTGGGTAGCAGGGAGCACCATCTGTCAACAAGCAAGAAGAGTTTCCATTTGACGGTTTGCCAAAATGTCTTTTCCTGGTTTTGTTGATAAATCGTAATTCCTTGCGTGCCGCTTCTTATTGTGCCTTTAAAACCATGACTGATCTAAATAGTCTGAAACCCTGCATTTTATTTTTCATGTTTGAAGCCGTAGCTAAAACCTGCAGTAAATGCTAACGCGCGTCTATATGAAGTGGGTGCCGCTGCTAGTTGTTAGTGGTGGAACTGGAACATCTGCAGAGCTGGTCGTTGCCTTTGCTGTCACTGTTGCTTTGTCAAACAGACAGGATAGACTACAAGTTCTCTGGTGGCGACTGGGTCACGGGTCAACCAAAGCCGTTTTTTTTTTAAACTTTTGCTAGCGGCTAGCGCATTGCTAGCGGGGATCTTGCGGGTAAAATTACGTACGAATTCGCAAAGTTGAGCCGCAACCTCAAAAATATAGGAAAATTGCTAAGTAGCACAGAAATTCACTAAGACATCCTTAGGTTTAAGCCCACCCCACCCCACCCCATCAATGAAAGTGCAAGTGAAAATCAAGTAGCATAGCATGAAGTGCAAGTGAAGATCATGTAGCGTAGCCATAGACCCGGTTGGTATTATCCCCACCCCACCCCACCCCACCCCATCAATGAAAGTGCAAGTGAAAATCAAGTAGCG